AAAGGGGCGGGATTTCAAATCCAATCCTTTCCTTCCCATCGCTTCCTATCGATTATTGCGTCTCCCTTCCTTCCTCCCGCTTCCTTCACCCATATTCCCTCCCATCGCTTCCCTTCCAACACCGGTGCTCCCTTCTCGTCCCTTGCGAAGCTGTGCCCTAAGGTCGTCTCGCCGGTGCTCCCTTCCCGTCCCTTGCGAAGCTGTGCCCTAAGGTCGTCTCGCCGGTGCTCCCTTCCCGTCCCTTGCGAAGCTGTGCCCTAAGGTCGTCTCGCCGGTGCTCCCTTCCYKTYCCYYKCGCGAAGCTGCGCCCTGAACCGCCTTGAGCCAAAACCCCTTGAGCCAAAACGCCTTTTCTGTTCGCCGCCTTCTCGCATCACTCTCAGCAGCTAAATCATATAACACCTTTTGTAGATGCTTAAATCTGAATAGGTATGAACAGAGTAGTCCTCCTTGTTTGATGAAAACTTTTCTCAAGTATATAGTTTTTGTTTAAGTGTGCTTTGTACATATGATGGTTTCATCGTCATTGCTATATGCTTGCTTAAACTGATTCTTCAGATGCATGATCATAGGAATTTTGCTATTTCTAGTCAACTTCTATATGCAATTTTATGATTCTTCAAGATATATAGTTGAAGTTCATGGTATACACTATGGTCATATTATGTCCAAATCCTGCAAATCAAACACAGGAATGGATTTTAAATCCAATCTAATCCAAATCCCATGGAATCCAAATCCCTCCTGGGAATCCAAATCCCTCATAAACATTCCTGCAAACCAAACACACCCTTAATGTCTTTTTGAGCAAGAGCTAAAGTAGCTCCTAAAAGAACTGTTATTATCCCTATCAAAGGGATATCAAAAATGAATTTTTGTGAAGAATGTGGATATCATTTAAATATGAGTAGTTCAGATAGAATCAAACTTTCGATCAATCTGGATATTTCAACTGATCCTAATTGTGCTGAAATGAGTTTGGAGTTTTTTGCTGCTAAAAATTGCGTGGAGATGCAAAGTGGCATATTGGTCTGGTTCGAGTCATGAACCAGTCTTTTGATAATCCAGTTGGTCGGTCTTGATTCCGACCAAAAATCATGGGATTATCGATCTTGGTTCCATTCATTTCAGGTTGGTCTCAAATCAGTCCCTTAATCATGTTGGTTTTCAAGAAAATATTTTTTTTAAAACAAAATTTATAATTGATTAAATTTTAAATGTTGAACTTTTAATATTATAATTACTCTTGGAGAAAAGAAAAAAAAAAGATAATGAACAACTTTATTATAATTTATAAAAACTTTAAATTTTTTGAAAAATCATGCATAACGTGTTTATGAACAGGTCCAGGCCAGATCGGTTCGGATCTTGAATTTCAGTAAAACTTATAATTGGTTCCGGATCGTCAAGATGTAACCACTAACAGGTTCGGTCGAGCCCTCTTTGGCCATCTTTAATCTTAGAGACACATTGGATCGGAATCAAGGACCGGTCAAGTGCAGGCCCAAGCTCGGCCTAAAAGACCAACTGGGATCAAAAGAACCGAATAAAATCAGACCAAAACAAGTTGGACCCATTGGGTTGGTCAAAGGACCGGCTTTTAGACTAATTTGGACCAGTCCTTGTACCGGTCTATGACTATTTTTGCTTTTAACGGCTAGTTTTGACATTTATTTTAGAAAAGATGATTTGTTGTGATCGATATAAATAGAGTGCAAATAATATGCATTTTCACACATTTTTCTCCTGTCTCGAGCGTTTTTTCGATATTCTTGCAAAATAATTTTCGTATACCCGAATTTCATATACACGTTCGTTTTATAATCTCGTAATTCTTCTTGCAATTTTCCTATTCTCATAAATAGAATCACACCAAAGTGCTAGTAACGTCGACTCTTTCTACACCCATCAACTGCTTCAAGAAAGTACGAACTTAAGTTATCAGTTAATTTGTCAAAGATAAAAATCCAAATAGTCAGGGGCGGATACATGGCCTGGTTGGGGGGATTTAAACAAGCGTGTCAACCATCAATAGTTTACATTTTCACGGGTCGTTGAATTGATCAACGATGGCGTCTATTATGTTAATACGATAAATAAATAAATAAACAAAAGGACCGGTTGAACTGGTTTGGGCCAAAAAGAGTGAATCCGGCCCACTTTAAGGATCGGTTGACGCCTTCCAAGAACCAGTTGCAAGATTCTTTTGGGCTCAGGCCGAGAACCGGGTCCTTGGGACTAGGAGTGTAAACGATTCGAGTTTTTAGTGAGCTACTTGAGCTCGAGCTCAAACTTAATAATTCATGAGCTCGAGTCGATCTCGAATACAAACGAGTCGAGCTTCATAACAAGAATGTTCAATTCAACTCGTTCGAAAGCTCTTAAACTTTATGAGTCGAGTCAGGTCGAGTCGAGTTGAGCCAAGTCATTCAAACATATACTTTTCCAAGCCAAACATATTTATTTGTTTGTAAATTATATAATCAAACATAAAAATTATTGAGCTTGAGCAAATAAACGAGTTAATAAATCGCACGTTTGAGCTTTTAAACGAGCATCAAGATCGAGCTCAAAACATTGTAAAATATCCCAGCTCGAGCTTGAGCCTAATATCATTTTTTTAGCATAACTCGAATGACCTGCTACTCGACTCACTCAGCACGTTTACACCCTATTTGGGACCGGTTAAACCCGATCCTTGCTTATCTCTAAGTAGACCAACAAGTTCCAAAGAAAAAATCTAGCATACCACTAGCCTGACTTACTACAGATGAATGATGATATGCACACATACAAAAGGGGCAAACGTATTTTTCGCATATGCCAAATAACATAAAGGTACATAACAATTGGTAATTGATGTATACGGTATTCAGTATGATAATACCTATGTCAAGTCCCGAGGGTATAACATCAGGTATTTTTTTTTAAGTATATAATATTTATATACAACAAATACTCAAAGCACACTCCTTATCTTTGTTGAGGCTTAAACCTATGACCTCCAAGGAGCTAGGATCTACCAGTAACTCGGATACCGTTGCACAAATGACCAAGAAGTTGAAAACCCTAGAGCTCATTTATTCCCAACTACTTAAAACTGTGGAGAATGAATAAATGGATGAACATCAACATTTGTCATTCATAAGTTGAGAAATCACTACAAATTCTTCATCTTCCAAAGATTAATCTTTTAGGGTTCATTTGGTACATAGAACAAAACAACATATTTGGTATGCTGGACAGGATGGGACATTACATTTGGACAAGAATCACTATAGATTCTTCATCTTCCAAAGCTTGACCTTGTTCTTTCCACGTTTGGTGCGACAATTAGATTGGGGCAAGACATGATTGAGTGGGAGAAAAGTACAGTTTTTTTTGTCCCGGCAAAATAAGTGAAACAAAAATCAAGAAGACGTGACAAGATTTGTAAATTACTTAACTACTCATATCAAATTACAACTTTACACAATTCTTTCACCTGCCTACCTCTCTCACTAGTCCAATCATGTCCAACCTTGTCCGCATACCAAAGTCCAAACGAACCCTTAGATTTATGATTCTGTTGTAATCTTATGAGTTTTTTAAACATGCAATGTCAATAACTCTAATGACCTGGGCAGTCACTTATATTTGTATTTATCATGTGAGCCTAACTTTTTTTACTGCTTTACCAATGCGATAACTGTTATATCAAATCACGGTCCTGACAGCAATTTCATAAAATGACCGTGCTAACTGCTTAGCTCAAGACATCAATCATGTAAATGTCTTCATGATTGTGAAAGGAGTTGGCCCATTTAGAATACTTATTAGGTGCTAGATGTAACCTGCAGGAAGGAAATACTACTACATGTTCCTAACATCCATATGATGGAACTTGTGAGAACTCTTAAATCTCCGGACTTAGAGTATCTCTAACAGTTATGTTATTTTAGAAATTTTGAGATTTGAAAAAGTTTGTTCCAACAGCTATGCTAAACTCTCCTCTAAAATAGAGGGAAAAGGTAAGAGATTGGAGAATCTCTAAATTTGGAAAAAGAGAGAAAATATAGCATACGTGATACATGTTGGAGATGCTCTTATAATATACTTGTGGATTGCAAGACCTTAGCCGTCTGGCATCTGTAAAACTCAAAGAGACTCTAAGCTTCGGCATCATGCATATGAGTCATCTTCCGAAGACCACTTGTATGTTGAAACATTTGAAACTTGTTAACTGAATAATTAATAGATAAAGCATTAAAGGACAAGGGCTATTTGGAATGTCTTGGGAATCGAACTCTAATCTTGTACATGCATGACAGAGTTTGTATGTTGGGAAGTATCCGAAAATACCCTCAGTTTGTATCTATATCTTGACAAACATCCCAAGGGACTCGCCAGTTTAGAAAGCTTAATGAAGCAAGCTAAACTTGTTAACTGAATAATTAATAGATAAAGCATTAAAGGACAAGGGCTATTTGGAATGTCTTGGGAATCGAACTCTAATCTTGTACATGCATGACAGAGTTTGTATGTTGGGAAGTATCCGAAAATACCCTCAGTTTGTATCTATATCTTGACAAACATCCCAAGGGACTCGCCAGTTTAGAAAGCTTAATGAAGCAAGCTAGATTTAGATGAATCACACAAACTTATAACCCGAAGAGCAGTTTTGTTCAAAAGGGTTAGAACATCAAGCTAGGTAAGCCCAGAAGATCAAACTAGGTAAAATAGAAGAGACAGTAAGCCCCTCTTTGCTCATTTCTATAGGCTGGATGATTCAGAGAAGGTCCAAGTGGTAATGAAGCAGTGTCCAACTACACCGTTGTGGAGCTGGGACAATCATGATGAAACACTGTGGGCCAAAATGGAGCTCATGCTTTTCCGTCTTACTCAACAATTTTTGAACTTTTTGAACAGCAAGCCATCAAATAGAACAAGAAAATGACTTATAAGTTAAGGGCACACAAGAAGACAAACCAGAGAAGTATCTTAAAATAAGAAAGCTTTAATTCACAAAAAAATGGTCCATTAAAAAGCCAAGAGCAAACAGATGAACATACCAACCAACAGTAAAGATAAACAGCTGCTCTTGTTATTGTTTTAGTGGTTAAATGCTAAAGCTGCATGAAAAGAGAAGGGAGAACTACTATTCTGCTGGCCTTCAACAATTTTCTTTTTGTATAGTTTTCTGTTTCAATCTATTGCATGGGAAAGAATAGCAAAATCTAACTTAAGGGGAAATCTTTGTTGCAAAGCCTTTTCTGCTGAGCTTTGTAAAGATAAAAGCAAAATAGAAGATTTGGATACCTTCTTCATGGTACAGATCAACTACTAAAAACTTGAGATACAAGCTTATGCTTCGACACTTACTTCTTTTGTCCCCACTGCCTCTTCTTCCAACTCCTTAACTGCTCTTACAAGTGATTTTGTGATCCCATTCAGATGTAAACCTTTCCTTGTCATTTCCTCCATTAGCTTCTCGGCCATTCCCCAATCAGCAGCCTTCAAGCAAAGAGACTGGATCAACTTATTGTACTCATCAGTATTAGGTTGAACCCCATACTCTTCCATCTCTTGCAACAATTTCACAGCCTTCTCGAATTGCTCAAGCTTGCAATACCCACGAATAATTGTATGGTAAGTCACAGGGGTCAGCTTGCGGTGCTTCTTCTTCGCCTCGGCCAACATTTTGGCAGCTTCCTCCATTTCACCACCCTTTGCATACCCACTCATGATCACACTGTAAGCAAACACATCAGGCTTGAGTCCCCTAGCTTCCATCATCCTCATTATCTTTATAGCTTCTGTCATATCTCCCGACTTAGAAAGGGCATTGATAATCGTATTAAAGACTGCATTTCCAGGAGGAGGACCAGCCTCAATCATTTTGGACAACAAAGCTTTTGCCCCCTCAAAATCATTAATTCTGCACAGCCCCTGAACGACACAAGAAAACTGCTTGATTGCATATTTCTGTTTCTCTCCACCAGAGAAATCCTCCAACATCTTCGATGCCAAGTGAATAGAATTGGGATCATTCTTCTTCCGATCACAAAGAGAACTAATCAAAAAGTTAACAGATGACTGAGCTGGATACCTTTGTTTCTCTTTTGCTGACAAATAAACAGAATGAGCTTCTTTCACCATCCCAGCTTTGCATAAATAACATATGATATTCCCAACCTTTCCTGTTTCCGGCAGTTTGTCTTCACTAAGCATTCTCTCACAAACTAAACCAACACGGTCAAAAATAGATCGCCTACAAAGAGCTTCGATAGTAAAATAATAGGAATCTGCATTTGTTGCACATGAGAAATCTCCGAACTTGTTGAACACCTCAAACCCAGCCATCCCTTTACCCAATCTTGAAAACAAAGATATCAGAGCATTAAGCATCTCGGTGGTCACAACATGGTTCTCCTTTTCACCCAGCTCCTTAACCAAATCCCACAAACTATAGGCAACCTTCTTTCTTAGCTCGGTACAGACAGCCCTCACAAGAGCATCAAGGGATCTTGCTGTAACAGAGAACAATTCTTGATTTTTACGGCTAGCAGCCCACTTGAAGAACGCAATCAAATTCTCCCCTGGAACATGCGGGGTTTCTAGCACTCTCACAACAAGCTCCTCACTCAGATTCAAATTCATATCATCAAGACTAGATTCTAAAGACCCACTAACAACATCAAAGTCACCATCTCGTCTCTTAAGAAGAGATAGCACACTATCTAATTCCTCGATATCAAGCCCGTGCGCTTCCTCATCAACTACTTCCACCGACTCCCTATTTTCCGAATCGGAAACATCCAGTTCTAACACGCTTTTAACCTCATCGATGCCATCCTTCCACATTTCGTCAATACTAAATCTATCAGTGTTTTCATTTCCTTCGCCAATCACATCATTGTTGTTATCAGTGGTCACCTCAACATCCGTAATTGAATCTGTTGAACTTGAACTAAAGAATCTAATAGCATTTAATTGTGGAAATAAAGCTATAGATTTGAAAATTTTTGAATCAAAATGGCGATAGGATGCTAGGGCTTGAGGATTATACACCTTAGGATGCAGTTGCGGGAAATTTGAGCTAGAATTTGAGAATCCTCTGGCTACATTTTTGTGAGCTGATCGAACTCTTCGTGCTGCTATTACCCTCGATCGCCACATTTCTCTTCTCCAAATTTCTCTGTAGACAAGAAGCCAAAAACCCTAATCTTTTGGGGTGCTTTAGGTTTTATGATCGGGTATTTTGAAAGTGGCGGGTCGGGTTGGTGCAAATACCTCTCAAATCCATCTAATGAAAAACACACGTAAAATTATAAAATATAACAAAAATTGTTTTTATTTTTATTTAATTTAAAATGATTAATTCTTAATTTGTTTTTATTTTGATTGACAACTAGTGAAACAAGTTAAACATTTTGATATAAAAAAACTAATAGGTCATTTATTAAACGTTTACTCGGTAAGTGCTTATCGGATGAACATTGCAAAGGTTAAAAAATTTTACCTGATAAGAGCAATGATAAAGATGTAGAGTCTTGTTCGATAAGTGATGGTGACGACTCTTACCCAGGTAAGTGCTTACCGGGTAAATTGTTGCATACAATACTATTTTGATGTACTACAATCTTATCCGATAAAATAAATTATAGTGTTGGCTTTTAACTGTAAACACTTACCGGGTAAGCATTTAGGTAAACAGCCCCTTAACTTTTATTTTAAAGGTGTGATGACATAAAAAATAAAATGTGTTATAATGGAAATGATCTTTGTCTTAGAGTCGTTTTCTAAAAGTTTACTGACAATAATCACTACTCTTATTTAATTGATTGAGTAATATTTTTTATCATCAAAATGGATTGTATGATGAGCGTCTTTTAACTGGTAAGCATTTATTGAGAATTTTTTCTCTCACTTATCAGATAAGATTATTAATTATTACTATATCTTTTATTGTATAAGATGCTCAATTTTTGTCATGCACTTTCAATAAGATAAATGACACCCTAATAACCGTTTGGTAAACGATTTAATTACTTTTTATTCATCAATTTGTATCAAATAATAAAAGACAAATTTGTACTAAATGAATGTTAAAGTAAGAATACTTACATATAATAAATATTATTATATGATTCATAAAAATTAGAAGGGTATTTGTGCAATGCATCAAGACATATTTTCATTTCAATTTTTCGTTTTACTTTTTATCCATGTCGATATAATACGATTTTATGTGGTCTTGAAAAAGCGATAATGTTTTTATTTTTGAATAAAATATAAATTTGAAAATATCATATAAAATTTGTAAAAAGTATATCAATATTAGTATCAAATAACTAATTAAAAGTTTTTGTTTGTTTATTTTTTTTAATTCAAAATTTTTACTATAATTTAATTTAACGTAACGAAGTAACTTAATTTAGGTTTAATAATATTTTTTAATAAAAATAATAATTAAGTATTATGTTAGAACTCAACAATTATTCTAATTATATTTTATATTTTTTATATTTTAAATGAGATGTTTATTCTCTGTTTGATTATGTTTATTCGTAGTTAGTTACAATAATTCAAACATATAGCTTTAATAAGTTGTATTTATGCACAATTTACTTGTAATCTTGAATTTTAAGTAATATGCATCAATAAACAGTCTTTTTTGCATAAATTTTTTTTAAGAATTTTTGTCAAATGTTTTATAATATAATATAGATAAATGAAAGTACGATGTTTAATTAATTAAAATTTGGATAAAAATGATATGAAATTATATGCGAATTCATATTTCATTTTAGCCTAAAAAAATATTTTACTATTTTTTTTTAATTTGATATTCATATCAATATCTTACCGTTATGATAACTTAATTATCTTATACTTCGTTGACATTATTTTATGTATCACGTTTGTCAGAATAACTTGAAATTTTATCATAGGGTGTATGTGGTCCGGTTTAGATGGTTTAATCTATCAAACCGCAAACCAAACTAAAATGACAGTTTAGAAAATTTTCAAACCGAGCGGTTTCACCTCAATTGACCAATCTAGTCAAATCAGACCACTAAAAGTCAGTCTGGTCTAGAGATGGGCAAATGGGTTCGCCCCCTGGGCCGGTGGAGAATCGGGACGGGTTACGATATTTCACCGTAAACAAGACCCAGTCACGCCCGAGACCAGTCGAATTTTTTATTTAAAAACTATATTTAAATGTAATTTTAAGTGTATTTAATTGAATACCAATATGTATTTTTAAGTGTATTTTATTAAGTGTATTATGTTAAAAACACATTTTTAGTGTATTTGGTTGATCCAATTAAATATTCTAAAATATATTTGATTGACCAAATTTTTTATAATAAAAACGTTATCTTTTTAGTGTATTTGATTGACCTAATTATAATAAAAACATATTTATTGGTGCATTTGATTGACCAAATTCTTCAAAAAAAAATATTTTTTATATGTTAAAGATCAATTTTAAAAAAATAAGTGAGACTGATTTGGGCCTGACCCAAGACCGGTTCTCATAACCAGGTCTCATACACCTTAACTAGGCCTTTGTATTTGAGTCGGGACTGGGACCGGTTACACCAGAAGCGGTTACGAGATCGATATTTGGGATCGGGACCAGTTTGGGCCCCACCCAGGACTGATTTTTTGCCATCTTTAGCATGGTCTGACCGGTTTAAGCTGTTTGGGGTTTTTTTATGGGTTTTAAACTAAAAAACATAACATCTATATACAATTTTCTTACCAACATAACATTATTAAAAAAAATAGTATACATAATTATAAAAGAAACGTTTATCTTTAAAATAAAAAAATGTTGAGGTACGTCAAAAAAAAGTCCAACAACAAGAGTTGGAATTTTGGACTAATATTGAGCAAGTCGAAGGACGATTTGAAATTTTGGATTTGATTTTAACGGATTTCAGGATTTTGTCAATTTAGATAATACAGTCATTTATAAAAACTAAAAACATAATATCTTGTACGAATCTTTTTTAATTAGGTCGTAAAAGTTGAGTCAACAACATTAAAACGAAAATATTTGGGCAAAAGTTGATTACTAGCAACCCCAAACGACCACATAAAGAACCTGCCCCCAAGATTACTAATGTGGAGGGATATTTTTTGGCTCACTCAGCGGCCAAGGCTAGCGGCGGGGCGGGAGGGGGCTTGAACCCAAGACCTGTTATGTATCTAGCAAAGTCACTCTACTCCTTTTTCAACATGAAAACTAAATATTAATTAATATATATGTATTTTTGACGGTCGGTTCGGTTTAAACTGCTCAAAAAAAGTTTAAAATGCATACCAGATCGAGCAGTTTGGTTATTTTTCAAACCAGACTTGACCAACAGACGACTCAAACCGTAAATAATGGTCCGGTTTATATTGTTTCGACCAATCCAACGATTTTTTGAACACCCCTAATTTTTCGAGTTGCTGCTAGGAGTGCACAAAACCGTGACCAACCCAACTCAAAATAAACCTAGCCAACTCAACCTAAAGCGACTCAATACGTAATCAAGTCGTACGATCTTCAAAACGCATGTGTTGGATTGGAATTGGGTTAGGGATGTTTAAACCCAACTCGACCTGATTAATCCAATGTTTTTCTATACATGAATTTAGTATGCTTGTTAAGGTCTTAATTAATATATGTACGTAATTACCTCTGTCTACAATTCTATTACAATTTCAGCTGCAATTTTACTTTTTTATTTGCATGAAACTTTAACCTTTTTATAGATTGTAAAATAATGTACCAAAGTTTCATCTGACCGATCTAATCCAACCTGCACGATTTGGGTTAGGTTGGATCAAAATATTTCAAACCGCAAACATTTGATTGGATTATTCAATCGTCTTTAGCTTAACCAATCTAACCCGTATGCAGCCCCTAGTTGTTATGTTACCAAAATGGTCATATCCTATTATGGACGGTTATGGACCAAAATCCTAAAATCAGTTTTTATTGAGTAAAAGACAAAATAGTCGATAAAAAGTACGAAAATGCCCTTCATTTAACGAAATTCGTCAACGTTCATTAGAGAGAAGAATCAAATCCTGATATTTTTACAAACCACAATGATCAGCTTATAATTTTGAAACCGTAGGGACGAAAAGTTTTATTTTTGACAAACCACGGACCAGATTTGGAGTTCACTAAAAAACAAAAGTACAAGGTTTAAATGGTCATTATTGAATACTCTAGGGTCTTTTACAAAATTTAGACGAATACCCTCGATATAGGAATGCAAGGAATAGTCAAAATCCTCTAATAAACTCCCCAATTTAACCATCACCGTTACCGGCCTCCGTACACCACCGTGTTCCACCGTGACTCTACCGTTATCATCCTCATTCACCGGAAGATTCGTAATATCTCGAGAGATAAACTATAGATATTTCCATTCAGTTCGATGATCTATCGACAGGCAGCCCAGGCGAATTAGGTGATTCGGATCTCTGCGTTTGTAATGTGTGATTGTGTGTGATGCTGCTCAGCACAACTAATACCTGATATGATAATCAATCTGGCCGTTTCTTCATTACTGAATATTTTTGCTTGATTAGGTCATTGATATATAAAGATTTTGGAGGAGTGGTAAGTTTTCAGTGGAGAGAGGATGGAAAAGTCGAGTACTTTGGACTACATCAACCAGATGTTCCCTACAGGTCAGTTCATTTCACATTCTCTGTGCATGTACATGGGTGGCTCCAATTCAAGATCAGATCATACACATCATAGTGAGATTCTTGATGGAATAACTGAAACAAGCTGGTCTTATCAATTGTGAATTTTGATTGGATCATTCTTGGGTTTTTATGCTCCTTGGTGGGAATGAACTAGATACTTGGTGGGATGAATCGGACAATTGGGGAGCGGGTTAAAATAACCGTTTATGGGGATAAAAACATACTACAATAAGCTGAATCATGTCATATAACTAGACACTAGTGCTGTTCAGCTGAGGCGGATCTTGTAGAACATGGAGGTCATAATTTAGGTCCATATTCAAGAAAGGAAATGTCAATTTAGACTTTCCAAGAGATTTTTCAGGGAACTACCTAAGGTAGTCATGAATATAAACCTTTGCTACCTATGTGCTTTTCTTTGTTCTGACTACTGTTGCTTATTCCTGGACGCTCAGATTGCACATGATTTATCCAAGGATATGTGCCTTAAACCAAAACTGACTTCCATCCTCCTTTATCCTAGGTTAGAGGAAGCTATATACAACATATGCACATGCAAAAATACACATGCCACAATGGAACCTTTTATCTCAAACTAGTCTGGCCAGGCTAAAAAGGAAACCAACAGAACTTAAAAGTAGTGCACCCTGAGAAGCAAACCAAAGAGGTGCATTTCCCTAGGGTTCCGAACATGAATGATATCCATGTATGCACTCCTATCTAAGGGCAACCCTTTAGGTATGCTATACTCATGTAAGTCTCTCTTTGCTACTCCTATATCAATTTTGACCAGCCTCCGCCTCTCCAACAACCTCATCTTGGTACAAAACATATATAGAACCAAATATGAGTCATCAAGTTAAGACTCCTTTAGGTTTGCCACATTTGAAGACTTCATCCTTTGTAGTTGCACCTACAACTACACAGTAATGTTGCTATCATATAATACTACTTGTGCAAAGTTGTACAACAATCAACAATCTGCTTGTTTGTGTTGATCTTTATTAGGCATTTTCTTTTGGTTAAATTTTTTCCCTGTAATTTCACATTATGGAATGTTCACTGTGCAGAGGCATCTTTATCTGGTGTTGAACCACTGATGCAAAAGGTACACAATGAGATACGCGTTGTGGATACTGAAATTCTAGCAGCTGTCCGTCAACAGGTGATATGTGTTTCTTTTAACAGCTTCTCTTGTCTTTTTAATCATAAACAAGGTTTACATTTGGGACTGCATTTTTACCCCTTATTTATGCCACAGCTATTGTGGTTTCATGATCCTTATCACTTTAATATCTTACCTTTAAACAATTGTGTGATTGGGTAAGGTAGCCATTCATTTATTTATCTGAGGGTAATCTTGGCACTTTAACATTAAACAATTTATATGCAGAGTAATTCAGGTACAAAAGCGAAGGAGGATCTGGCTGCAGCTACACATGCTGTGGAGGTCTGTTAACATCCCTATTTTTGCTGTTAACTGGGACTCTTTTTTTACTAAAAGATCCAATACACTTGCTTTTTCCATGATTCATGATTCAGTCTTTATGTTGCCTCAATTGCTATTTTTCTACTTCAGGAGCTCATGTACAAGGTCAGAGAAATAAAAACCAAAGCCGAGCAAAGTGAAACAATGGTTCAGGAAATATGCCGTGACATTAAAAAGCTGGATTTTGCAAAGAAACACATAACAACTACTATCACGGCCCTTCATCGTCTTACTATGCTAGGTCAGTCTTTTACTGTACAGATCATAGCTCTATCTGAAATTTAGTATGAAATAAAGAAGTTACTTGGAATATGATAAGCCACTTGTGCAACAGTTTTCACATCATCCTTACTTGAAACTGGTTCGATATTTTTATGAGCAGTAACTTTTACAAACTGAGAGTCGGGTCTCAGCTTAGTAATCAGTCAGCATGAATTCATCCCTTGTGTTGATGTCCAGGGCTTCCAAAAATTTCTTCTTCCTTGTCAGAAGATCGGATGATAACTGCGTTTTTACATTTTTCTACCACATCTTAGTTAGCAAAGGAAGAACAGAACTGGGATTAACTGCAATTATTTGGGGTTACCACTTACCATTCATTGTACCATGTCATTACTCGTCCTTCCTTATTTTTCTTGTGAGTGGCACACCTCATGCTAATATTTGTTCTTGCTAACTGCTTGCTTACATTCTTGCACAAGCCGGGGGTCTTCATGGGAACAACTGCTCTACTCTTTCGGGGTAGAGGTCAGGTCTGCCTACATCCCACCCCTCCCAGACCTTATTTCGATTGGGATATACTGGGTCAGTTTGGTTTGGTTTATTTGTGGTTGCCTAGAGTCATCTTTCAGTGAAATGCTTAGTTCATGCTTGCATCATGTTTTTCATTAAGCATTATCATGTTTCGAATACTGCATTAGAAGGTATTCCCCTGATACAAAGTATGATAACTGCATTTTTACATGTTTTTATCACATCTTAGTTAGCGAAAGAAGAAAAAACCTGGAATTAACTGCAATTGTTTGTGGCTGCCTGGAGTCATCTTTTTGGCTAAATGCTTAGTTCATTCTTGAATCATGTTTTTCGTTAAAAATTATATCAATCTCTATTAGCCTACAAGTTCTTACTGACACCCACTTTAACTATGACAGTCTCTGCCATCCAACAACTTCAAGTAATGGCTTCAAAGCGACAATATAAAGAGGCTTCCGCACAGTTAGAGGTATGTTTTAGATTGGTATTTGTTAACAAATTACATAAAGAAACACTTGTACTTGACATAAGTTATATTATCCAAACATTTAGATTATGCAACTTTATTATCCCTCATGTAGCTCAATGCTTTCCCCACATGAACATCTGTGTTGGTGTCTAACATACATGATTTTTGGTGTTTTAGGCTGTCGGCCAGTTATGTAGTCATTTTGATGGCTACAGAGATAACCCGAAGATCACAGAGCTTAGAGATAAGTTCAAGAATATTAAACAAATTCTCAAGTCTCATGTGTTTTCTGATTTCTCCAGGTGTGTATATTTAATGTGTTTTTTGGAAGGTTGTTGCTATTCTATTACATGTCTATCTTGAACCTTCTGAAGTTATCTGTAGTCTGACCATGTTGGTTTCTCTTATGTAATAACTTTATGTTACATCTCCACGATTTACTGTCAACATGAAAAATAAACAAAGATAATATTGCAGTTGAAATAAAGATTTAGTTGAGTTGGTGTTACTAACTTTAATATGCAGAGATATTGGTCTGTAATATAAGGTATTACCTATGGTATCTCTTGTGTACCTTTGCATATGGTTTTGCTCATCACCTATCATCCATATCAATCAATCAATTCTTATATACAATGAGGTATTTTGGTTTAAGTTGTAAGGACGGTCATGAATTGTATATGAAGTCCACTCGATTGGTAGTTAAAGGGAAAAGAGCCACTATTGACTAATTGATATAGCTACATAAGTGTAGATATGCATACATATATATATATAAATATATGTATACATACACACACACACATATATATATATATAATATAGGGGCCGCTTTATCTAAGAAGGCTAAATATCGTGAGAAGGTAGGAAGGGAAGGTTAACTAAAGGTTCATATGTGAATCAATGAAAAAATCCATTTGAAGATGCATACATGAACCCATATGCATAATATGTAACATCGGTTCACATATGCATCTTTAAATAGATTTTTTTGGGGAATTTTTCAATGATTTAAATATGAACCTTTCCTTGACTTTTCCTTTCTTACCTTCTCACGATATTTAGCCTTATTATTTGGACCTCCCTCTATATATGTATATGTGAACTATAATTATATTTGTAATCAAAATAATCATAAAACAACCAATCCTATTCTTTAGATGATCCACCTTCCTCCCCCCATGCATTTTTTTATTGTCATCTTATCTTTTAAATGATCTATCATGTGGCCTTTCTCATAATCACAATTATTTCATCTCTATTTTGCCATTCTTTCCAAAATACGACCCTTTACCATATGGCACTTTCTTGCTTATGTACTTATCTACTCATAATTAAACTAAGGGAGATTCATAAATGTGGTGTTTTTAAACCAAAGTTTACTAATTCAAGAAGATTGGAATTGTGTGATCACTTAGTAGGAGGTTCTTCTTAGTTAAATTTTATTTCTTTTGAAATAGATGTATCATAGTCTATTATCAAGACATTTTTTGAATATTTCATTGCTTCACTATGATGACATAATTGATATTCACAAGGCCTTTTGGACGTTAAGACAAGTTTAATATCTATTATCCCTTCTTTCTTTTATCCAGCTTAGGTACAGGGAAAGAGACAGAGGAAAATAATTTGCTGCAGCTCTTATCAGATGCCTGCTTGGTTGTTGATGCACTGGAGCCATCCGTGAGGGAAGAGCTGGTGAAGAACTTTTGTGACAGGGAACTCATTTCTTATCAGCAGATATTTGAGGGAGCTGGTTTGTTTTTCATAACTACTTTCCTAGTGTAGCTAAAGCTTATGCATTTCATTCTAAAAACTTTGTGAATCCTCTCAGAGCTAGCCAAGTTGGATAAAACAGAGAGGAGATATGCTTGGGTCAAACGTCGTTTAAGAACAAATGAGGAGATATGGAAAATCTTTCCCACTTCATGGCATGTTGATTATCTGCTCTGTATACAGTTCTGCAAATTGACCAGGTTGTTATTCTATTCTCTAAAAACTTAAGGAGAGGCTTGTATTTCTTGAACCATATGGATAGAGAATATACCTCTTACTCATTATTTTTGGCATGTGTCAACCTTACTTCCTGGTATCTTCACTTTGTGAGTTTAAGTGTAGATTGTTACTATCTCCAGTCTACTATCTTCATACTAAAGAATGATTTCATGCGATAGGTAATAATATGAAATTAGATCAACAACCTAAAAATCTCTGTGGAGCTAAATGTGGAAGAACTGGTGATTCTTGTTTGCTTCCAAATTCTCTTTTTAGTATGTGGTATTGACAACTTGGGTCCCCCTAATCAATGGGTTTATGCAAAAGCACCTGTCCACATGAACTGGACAAAACTTCCTCCCTTCTGGTTTTGAATATGTTATTGTTTGGTTCCAATTAGACGACTTATATATGTGTTTATCTTATGAATTATGATTCTTCAACAATTTATGATGTGCTGATGAATTTTGAAGATATACATTTAATATGCCTATGCTTTTGATCATTAACCTATAAAATTCAGTCTATTTTTATGAACCATGCTGCTGCTATGCACTATCTCATCATTACTCCCAAGAGTCATAAGAGGTCGTTGATCTTTATTAACATCTTAAGGAAGTCTTTTTCATTCTTCCTTTTTCCAAGTTTCGATACTTACAACTACATACTTAGTTGGCATTGAAATACTTTAGACACTCAACATGACTCATTTCTATCTTATATTTTCTTATGTTCCTCTAGTTAGTAATTACAAGTCATGTATAGGGACCTGTTATATACCGAGCACTTGATGGAATCATGTCTTATCTAGTTTTGCCTATGGTTCAGTTATATATATATATATATATATATATATATATATATATATATATATATATTTGTAACACCCCAGAATCATATTTGCATATAACCATGTATTTCATATATCAAGAAATACAAATTTACACATTTGGTCCCGATATCTACAAAAGCTACACTACAAAAGTAGCTACCAAATTTTTCTACAAAATCCCAGTACAAAACTTGTATACATAACAAATATTCAAGTACCTAAGATATCACATCATCTTAAAAAGCAATCATATAATCTTCATAATTTCCCTTTCCCCTTATCATCAGACTGTGCCCGACCTGTAATGCACATTTTGAAATACAAATGAGGGTTAGACCTTGAGGTATAGTGAGAAATCCCTTTGTTTGCTATTACAGGGTGAAAAATCACCAAAACACTTTTACAAACCCATATTTGTATAAATAACAAATGAACAACGTTTTATCAAAACTAACCTCTTTTGTCACATCAAAATAATGAGATAACACCCCTTTATCGTATCAAATAATCAAATAACTCACTTATCGCATTATACAAAAACTCATGGCATCATATGGATAAAATTATAAATTTCTCGTATCACATGGGTGAGACAACCCCATTTCCTCGCAACACACTGGTGCGAGGACCCCATCTCATTGCATCACCTTGGTGTGATAAACACGATTTGTCGCATTAATAGGATGCGATAAGTCAATGTTGTCGCATCACAAGGATGCGACAACCTCTCTCCTCGCATCACAATGATGCAATAAAGTTAGCTCATCGCATCAATAGGATGCGATAAACCCAAGTCATCGCATCACACAGATGCGACAACTCAAGGTCATCGCATCATAAAGATGCGACAACAGAATTGTCAACTCTGATTAAAAACCCAACTTTTACATATAGGTTGATTTTGCCACCCGTATAGCCATAATACACCTCTTATGATTATGCCACCCTTATATCCAAAATACACCTCTCGGGATTATGCCACCCTTATATCCAAAATACACCTCTTCTGTACATCTCTCCTGATTATGCCACCCTTATTACAACCATTTTTTAATTAGTATATCAAAATACAAAATTATGCTAAAATAGCATAATAACAGTTCTCAAAATTTCTCCACATAAGGAAACCATATCTGTTTATTCATACTATAGAAGGAAAGTTTATAAAATAAAACTCACCTTATAGAATCACAAAGATGAAGATGTATAACAGCAATCAGTTAACAAGTTTTAATCACAAAGACTTCTTCTTCCCATCCCTTCGGTTTTCTGTTTTGCTTCCAGTCTCAAGAACACACACAGAAAAGTTCTCACCAACTTTTTTCTCTTTTTACTTCACAATCCAATGAGATAAAACAAAATATCTCAAATAACTAACAGTAAACAAATATAAGGCGGTGGGGGTTTAAAACCACTTAAGCACATAACCAAGTTAACCCCCTCAATTTTCCACCATTATATGAAAACAACCCCGAACTTTATAATCGATAAACCCGGTTATCACATTATGTGTCTGTTGCAATTATATGTTGTCCTCCATTCTTTCATCTGGAGGATTCTTGCTACGTTTTTTATGCCTGATATGAGTTTGAAACGACTTTGCATAATTTCAGTTCGAAATGACACCGGTTATGTCAAGTACCATTGTTCATGTTATTTTTTCTAGATAATTGTTGTACCAGACTTGTGGGGCTCATTGGCAGAATTCCTTGATTTTAGGACCCAACTTGAGGATATCCTTGAAAACTTGAAAGAGAAGCCAGATGTTGGAACATTACTGATGGTAAATTCTGGAGAAGCATTATTCAACAGTTTCATTTATTTCTGTACTTTATTTTAGATACTGGGATGTATTTACATTGTTGTGCTTCTTATGCATGATTTTTCTATATATCTGATCATTTATATCTTTTACCTTCTAGGATATAAAACATAAGGTTTATGAAGCCTTGCCACTATTGTCATTAGCTGTTCATAATATTTTTTTTGTTTCTTCTGTGCTGGTTAAGTTCCTATACATGGTATTAGTTGTAGTCTTTTCACATTTGTATTTAATTGAATCTTTAAGCTTATCACCTATTATTGGAACTAATATCAGCATTAGGTGTGTGTTGCTTTGATATTCACTGATGCACTAACCTAAGTGGTGGTTTCATATTAGAGGGATAGGTTTCTCATTTTACATATTACTTACCTGACACCATTCATTTTAATTCTTTTGTAAATGATAGATGCTAATTGTTTTCCCTAGTCATAGATTTCATTCAACTTGTAATTTATGATGCTTTCTCATTTTAAGTGTACCCATTTAGTTTCAGATAAAAAGTTTGTTCTTCCCGTTGCTTTCTAACCAAAGTGGTAGTGGTAATTGTAGTACTCTCTACATATTCCTTGTTATGGTCTATATTTATAACCCGTGATGGCTAAATATGCTAACTATATATGGCGCTTGACAGTTCAGCATCTTAATTTCTTCATGACACCTGATTCTGGACCTTTCTGTCTTCTGGAATCATGTGCAGGCATTGCAAAGGACAATAGAATTCGAGGAAGAATTGGCAGAAAAATTTGGTGGTAGTGGTAGTAGCAGAAATGTAACAACTGACTTTGAGGAAACAGATAAAGCAGATCAAACTGTACTAGACATTCGTAAGAAGTATGAGAAAAAGCTTGCTGCACATCAAGGAAACCAGGACGATGTGAGTGACGATGATTACTTCATTAAGTTATTCCTATTGTATTGTTATTTTCGAATTTCCGAAAGCGTCTGATCCTGGTTGGGGTTAATCTTAATGTCTGAACTTTCTGTTGTCAGGATAAAGATTTAGCTGTGCCTGGAGCCGGGGTATGTTTTAACCTTCTCAGTTGCATTTTTTTTGGCTTACATTTATACATTAGTTACAGAAAAAAGAGCCTCTCTTCTAGGTTTAGAAAAAAGAGGCTCCTTTCTACTCTCATCTTGATCGTTTTCATCTATATTTCTGGGTCAATAAATTTTGAAATATCAAAAATGGAAGTGACCAGTAGTAACGTTCAAATTTGTGCACTTATTTTTCCCCAAATAGTGTGCAACAGATATTTTAATTTGGCAATAACTATGAGGACATTAGATTGCCTGGGTGGGGCCAACTTATGCTATATTTGCCACTATAATTGACCTTCACTATAAAAAGAAATTCCAAGCCCATGGTTTTTGTTTTCTATATAAACACTTGTCTATGACTTGTTTGATATTTAAATGTTGCAAAACCAGCCAAGGAGTTTTAGCTTGTTATTTATCTCATACTTTTTCGGGAATGTTTCATACTTAAATTTTATTAAAACTTGGTGGTAAGTATTACTCTGTTTCCATTTTGTTGCAGTTCAATTTTCGGGGAATCATATCATCTTGCTTTGAACCACACTTGATGGTGTATGTAGAATTTGAAGAGAAGACACTTATGGACAATCTGGAGAAGCTTGTTCAGGTTTTATCAGCCTCTGTGTTGATTGACCTGTTTGGTCCTTCACTCTTATTTCCGGATATCATATTTATGTATCTTCAATATCACAGGAAGAAACATGGGATATGGATGATGCAAGTCAGACTAATATTTTATCCAGTAGCATGCAGGTAAGTGCTGCTAGACAAGAATATGTAAAATATTTATCAAACTGTTAAGATACATTTTTCTCCTTGGGAACTGAATAATCACTCTTTTCCATATATTCAATGATGTCATCCACTATGCCTTTGTGCCATTTCCCACTATAAAGAGTGTCTTATATCACCTATCAGATATAATAAACCATCTCTTTCCTCATTTTGTTTCATCCCTTTTCCAGATGGCTCAAAAAACATCACAATGTTGTTACCCTGTGCTGAATAATTTTCACTGTCTAGTTTTCCAGTATCTATAGTTGGTTACCACACAAATGTGCATCCGAACGCTCGAAATGCATATATGCTTTTACCTGATGAATGTAGACCTGCTTTGATAAGTGAAGTCTTCAATAGACGATAAAGCTGCTTTGGGGGTGGGAAATCTAACAAATTCAATGCTAATTTTGCGTTGCGAACCTAATAACCTTTTTATTGTATGTAAGGTATTTCTGATTATCAGAAGGAGCCTAAAGCGGTGCTCAGCCTTGACGAAGAACCAAACTCTGCTAAATTTATTCAAGGTGCGATTTGAATAAACTACTTGCATGTCGTCCATTGTCAATGGGCACTTCTGTATGCTACAGTTGAAGTATATGCTCTTATAAGTAGTTTCTTCTGGAAATACCATAGAAGAAGTCTGTCCTTTCCTATTGATCTGCCTGATAAGTTTTTCTGTTTGCAACTGAGTATTTGCTATATCCTATGTTCATGTGTATACTACTGGTGAAGGTCAGATGTTCATTTAGGTGTTTTCTCTCCTTTCATCTTTATGAATAGAATGATTTCCATCGAGGTCACTCCTATAGGAAACCATAAAATAATGAAGATGAGCTATAAATAAACTGTGCTAAGTATTTCCTCTGAGCATGTCTCTACAGAGAATAAAGATAAAATTGAAAATGAAAATGAAGAAGATGAAGATGAATGAAATCACATACGTCCAATGATTGATCTTTCTTCATTCATCATTTACAATTGTTACCTGGAATGAATTATTCAAACAGAGGGTATTTTAATTAATAATATATTTGTTAATAGATGATATAAAAGTAAAGCCTTTTCTTTTGAAACTCCATAATTGTAACATAACATCACGAACACATGTCTAAATATTGATTGCTAAAGATGCCCTCCTTGATCAACCTACATCTAAACAATCACAATCTTCTACATACCCAGTTCCTTTTCTTTCGTATGATATTTAACTTAACATAATAAGGGCATAATATTTTAGGGCTTGTTAGATTGTAATTTGTAAATTACAGTTGGATCTATGAGTCAAATGGCGAAAATATCTTTTTGCTAATTATTAAACACTATATACAATATCCCTGTTACAGGTATTCAAATTTTAGCGACACTGATACTTGTAACAGTGTAGTGGTTTGCAGGATAGAACTGGCAAATTGGCAGTGGCAATGTTATAATGATGATAGGGTGCTGGTAAAATACAAATTTACAGCCATACCAAGTAGTAAATCGAATAATATGTGGTACTGTGATTATAATATAATGAGATTTCTAACACATCAAAAATATGAATATATTCTTATTAACTCGAGAACTTTGTCCTTCGACCTTGCTATATGGGTATATCTGACCATGGATTCGAGGAATCAAGTTAGCAATTTTTTTCATTCTCGTTATTAACCTGCATGCTTTATAAAAAATCATCAATCAATTTGGATGGAATTGTGAAAATCTTGTCATATCTTGGATAATCCAAAGGTGAGTTCCTTGATCCTAAGTATCTGTTAATTTGTATGTTCCATTTTTACAGTATGAATAAACTGTAATTGCTTGCTCCACTTGACTGATAGGTCTTTCAAAGAGTTCTTAGAGCTTATGCTACAAAGCTTTTCATGAAGTTGCCTAAAGGTGGCACAGGGATTGTTGCAGCTGCCACAGGGATGGATGGGCATATCAAGGCATTCTCTACCTTTACAGACCACGTCTTATTTTAACTATGATTGTTACTTCCCACTGTTGATGCTAATGATGTGTGACTCCGAATGCAGACATCTGATAAAGACGAAAGGATGATATGCTATATCGTGAATACTGCAGAATATTGCCATAAAACGGTCAGGCTTTTACCTGTCACAGCAAAGTAGTTTGAACCTGCCCCTATTATGTGTGTGTATATATAGGGTCAGGTTCAGGTAACCATTCATTTGGATGGTCATGTGCATGTTATGCACATGTGCATACTGGACATATTGTTTACAAATTACTTGTATGCACATGTGCATACTTTATAAATGAATGGTTACCAAGGTGTTCCTCAATTTTTTTTTTTGCAGTTTTCCCATGACTATATATATATATATATATATATATATATATATACTTGTATGCACATATGCATACTGTACAAATGAATGGTTATCAAGGTGTTCCTCAACTTTCTTTTTGCGGTTTTCCCCTGAACCTATGTATATATATATATATATAGGGTTGGGTTCACGTGAGACCAAGGGTTTTTCGTGAGACCCGTAAGATCAATTTATGTTCATTGATCAACTTTATAAGCTAATGATCTAATGGTCTAAAGTTGCACGGTGGTAATTTTGTGATTATTGAGAAGTCTCGTGGCAATTTTGTGATTATGAATGTTCAGATTGTAGATCTAATCCGAGGGTTGAGAATTGGTCTTACGGGTCTAACAAAAAACCCTTGGTCTCACATGATCCCAAGTCTATATATATATATATATATATATATATATATATATATATATAGCTATATATATCTATCTATATCTGTATACATATGGTCATGGGATTGATGTAGATAAATTTTTTATAGTGAAACCCCATGTAGATTCAGGTTGAAAATCATTTAGTAGGTAATAGCTATTATAGGTGCTTGAGCTGTCTTCCACTAATTAATTAATTACTCTTGGATGGCTTACTTCTCTTCTGTTTCTACCCCCTCTTCCCTTAATTTATTTCATCATGTAACACTACTTGGTGGAGTGATTATACATAGTAAAAATTGCCACAGGTAGCCAGGTAGGATTTGACTAAAAAATATGCAATAAGGATACAACTGGTTTAGGTTTACCGGAAAGCCTTCCCTATGTAGGGTTGGGTTCTGGTGAGAAGGGTGAGAAGGGATCTCCACCCTTGGATCAATCCTAATTGAAGAGTTACACTATATCAACACTAATGAGAAGCACCGGATCAATTCCCTTATAAGGCACAATTCATGGGTTGGTTTGAGATTAAAAGTGATCAAGGGTCCAAATCTCTTCTTACGCTTCTCACCTTAACTCCTATTCTCACACGATCCTTTGTCTCCCTATGTAAAGGAGAGATAAATTGTAGTTCATTGCTTTTACAGGCTGGCGAGTTGGCAGAGAATGTCTCCAAAATTATAGATGCCCAATTGGCCAATGCGGTGGACATGTCAGAAGTGCAGGTAATTTATCGTGTTATTTGTCTTTATAAGTAGGAAAATATATCTTATTATTTGTCTTTGATGGCTATATCTTGTCTCGAACATGCTTGTATTTTTACAGGATGAATTCTCAGCAGTTATAACTAAAGCATTGGTAACTTTAGTCAATGGCTTGGAAACCAAGTTTGATGTTGAAATGGCTGCAATGACACGTGTTCCATGGGGTACACTTGAAAGTGTGGGTGATCAATCAGAGTAAGATGCGAGTTGGTATATGAAACCTAAAGTACTGTGCTAATGCATTTTCTCAAATGTTTACGAATTCATTGTATTGCAGATATGTCAATACCATAAAAATGATCCTTAATGGTAGCATTCCGGTGCTTGGAAGCCTTCTTTCTCCAGTTTATTTCCAGTTCTTTTTAGACAAGGTAAATATATCCCTGTTTCATATTTTGATATTCTTCTCAAATATGGCACTTCATTTCTTTCAGTCTTTAATAAGATTTGTTGCTTCTTTTCTAAAGATTGGTTTTATTAAAATGAACTAAATCTACCATATTTGCCCTTTACTTCTTGTCATGTTTTCTGCTTTATCATACACTTCAGGCCATCATAGAAGCTAAGACATACTCCTTCCATTTCAAATAAATGCATTGTTTGAGTGTGCACATGCACTCTGTTCTCTGTTCTGGGATTTGAAGATAAAATAAGAGGAAATAAAATGTGGTCCTTTTTGTGGGTGTTCTTGAGTTGGAAAGAAAAGAAAAGAAAACATGTTATGTTTTAAATATTTTTGGTGTTTCCAAGTCAAATGAAAGGGAAAGAGAGCTAAAAATTCTACAATTATACTCTTCTTGTGAAATTTTGTCGGTAAAAAATTCATGGAGGAGAAAGGGTAGTTTTGTGATTAAAAAAGTTTATAAGGCCCTCTAGGTTCCATCCTCTTCAAGTATTCTTGCAGTTGGGAGGAAAGTTACAGGAAGAAAGTTAGCCAAAACTTCCCATCCTGTTCCTTTCTCTTCTCTCATAATGTTTTTTGAGAACACAAAAATAGGAAATGTTGCATTTATTTTGGTCACCCCAAAACGAACATTGTTGCATTTATGTTAGGAGGGAGGGAATCTCATTTTACATTAGTTGATGTTATGTCCTTTGTACCTTTGATACGCTCATCAATAATGACCTGATTTTGTCGTGCAGCTTGCATCGTCTGTGGGTCCACGCTTTTATCTCAATATCTTCAAATGCAAGCAGATATCAGAGACTGGAGCTCAACAAGTACGGTTCTCTGACAGCTCCCTTTCTCCTTGCATTCTTTCTTATATACATGATAGCAACTTACAATGATGATCGTTATGGCGACTCTGATCGAGTATAAAATTTTGTTTTTGTTCAGATGTTGTTGGATACGCAGGCTGTAAAGACCATACTTTTAGACATTCCTTCCCTTGGCAAACAGGTAAGACTTCCTCTATGCTACAAAAAATTGCAATTCTTTTTATCTCACCACACAGTTCACTAAGGTTTTGGTTATTATCATCTGTCTATAATACCTATGATGATTACAAGTAGGAGAATAATTTGAACCATTCGATGAAAATTGCAATGTTTGACTTGACAAATAGTTTAAGAAAGTTGTTTGACTATTTGTGAAAATTGCAATGTTTGACTCGACAAATATTTTGAACCATAGAGAACTTCTATTGCAGTACATGGTATCTATTAAGAGCATCTCCAACAGTATCTCCATAATTTCTCCAAATGGAGAAGCAAAAGTCAAAAATCTCCAAAAAGATTACCTTCAACTCCAAAAGTTTCCAACATTTAAATATTCAATAATATAAAAGAAGTTCTCTCTCTTCATTAAATTTTGGAAAGTTCTCGAAATTTGTAGAATTTTTCCATCTCTATTTAATTTCTCCATTACGGAGAAGTTGGAGCACAAAAAGAACATAAAAACTCCAAAATCTCATTTTTCTCCATCGTTATTAGTTTCATCGGTAATGATAAGAGCTTTCTCTGTACAGACATCCGGAGCTGCTAGCTACTCAAAGTTCGTGAGTCGTGAGATGAGCAAAGCCGAAGCACTTTTGAAGGTGGGTGCTTAATTTCATGCCTTGATTCCCCATTTGAAAACATTAAAAAGAAATGGTAAACAAGTTGATTACACAATTTCAGCGACAAGTGTTCCTTGTGCATGTTGTAGAGCATATTTTTCACATAGTGCAGCTACTTCATGTAAGAATTATATTCACTGTTGCTGAAAATCTGTATAGGGACCGGAACCTTCTTGAAAATCGTATTTCTCTGAAAATTTGAAAGTTCTTCTTTGTGGAGACAGCCGCTCTACTCTTTTAGGTGGAGGTCAGGCCTGCGTACATCTCAACCGGCCCCCCATGGACCCCACCTTCGGGTGGGATATACTGGGCTTATTTGGTTTGGTTTGGTTTATTTGTTTGATGACTTTGCTGTGTTATATACAGGTTATCCTGTCCCCAGTGGACTCGGTGGCAGATACATACAGTGCCCTACTACCTGAGGGAACACCTTCAGAGTTTCAGCGAATTCTAGAGCTCAAGGTTGTAGTCAAATTAGACCATTCCTTCAATATTATAAATGGTCCTTTGCTAGCTTTAATAGGGGTGGGCTTTTTAGGAGAATAACCTTCTGACCCATTTTTTTAAATACATGACCTTGTGACATATTTAAGAACACATCTGCCTAACAGAAGAATGTCCCAAAATTCATGCATTAAGAAGATTGATCATAAGGTTATTCTCCTAAATTACCCGGGTTTTTCTTCTTTTTCTTTTTGTTTGGGGAGGGGGTAAATTGAGCTAAGCCAAGAAAGGAGCCAAACCTGAACTTTCTTGTAAAGAATCTTAAGGCTCAGCCAGTGGCTTGCCAAATCGAAAAGGTGAGGCTCAGGTTTGGGTTGTCTAAAGCTCAAGCGTCGTCTTAACCCTTGTAGTCTTGGTTCCTAGGGGTTGTATAGAGCTAGAACCCTTAATGAAATTACAACTAAAAGACTCCATAAGGTTAAGACGAGTGGGAACGGGATGAAAACATTTTACTTGCACTATAGCTCATATTGGATCTACGGGCTCTGGTAAGGCTCGTTGAGTTTTGAGCCCAAGCCTGAGCAGATTAAGAACAACTTGACTCCTATAGACCCAGTCAAAATGGACATTTCAGAGTGCTGTACAACCACACCGCATGGATTACAAGTCAAACCAAACTAAACTAATGCAGTACACCAAGTAGGATCTAAGGAGGGTAAGATGTATGCACACAGTTCCTTTGCTGCAAGTAGTTGAGACACTATTTCCATGAAGGCCACCGGCTTGCTACAAAGTTAACTTTTGGGGAGTCTATGTTTCGCAAACTAGCTGGTAAGTTAGTTGTTAGCTGAAATATTGGTTGTTGGCAGATAAGCTAACTGATTGAGCAAAACTAGCTGATAAGCTAACTGATTGAGCAAAACTAACTGATAAGCTAGATTACTATAAATGACCTATAAGGACATGTCACAAAATTAATTGGAAAATACAAGGGGGCATAATTAAAGAAAATGGGAAAAAATCCTTTGGAGCTTATAGAAACGGTATTTGAAGTAGTGTTTTTATTTTATTTTTATTAACTTGGATATCCAACCCGCTATGCGAGTCGACTAATTCTAGGGAGACCACCTGCTTTGCAGATAGCCCGGAGTCACCGCATTTGAACCTCCATGGCCACAAGGGGATTTTTATTCCTTCTTGAATTTAAACCTGATACCTCCTGGTACTTTTGACCTTTGGAGTCAAGCTCAAACCAATCAGGCACCACCCTTGTGGTTGAAGTAGTGTTTTTTTAGAATAAAAGAATAAGAAAACCCCAAAAAAAGAACCTACCTTTCGAGTGGGATTAACGGGGTCAGTTTGGTTTGGTTATTTATGAACATTTGTAAAATGTTTTTCTTTTTCACTAAAGCATCAAGAAATCTTATCTTAATTCATCCTTTGATTCTACAGGGGCTGAAAAAAGCAGACCAACAAACAATATTAGAAGATTTCAACAAACGTGGGTCCGGGATCTCTCAAGCGTCTATCGCCACACCAACCGTGGTCCAGGTGGTCCCGACCGTGGCTCCTGCACCTCCACCCGTGGTGAGTCAACCGTCAAGTGCGGTCATTGCATCGAGAGAAGACGTACTCACCCGAGCAGCAGCACTTGGTAGAGGTGCTGCTACAACTGGTTTTAAACGGTTCCTGGCTTTGACCGAAGCCGCAAAAGACCGAACCGATGGGCCGTTTAGAAAACTCTTCAATCCATGATGAGCATATCGTAATCTATGTATCTCGAACATTCGAGCTCGGTTTCGCATATAGAAAAAGAAGAATCGGAACAAAAGATCGGTTTTATGTTTTGATTACCGTTAGATGCTAGTTCGTGGATCCATGATTTTCGACCAGCGTATGTATAACAATTTTTGAATGTGATGTATTAGAATCACGAAATCTTAATTCTTTTACTCTTAAAAAACACAAAAGGCTTTTACTACTCTGATTACGGATTGTTTATTGAACACTTATCGTCTGTTACTGGTTAGCCAAAGTCTTTTACCTGGTAAGAGATGACTGTCTTCACCAACAATCTTACTGTGTCATTTTACTAACCGAGAATGTTACTCATAGGTGTGGGTGCTTATCGGGTAAGAGATGTTTATCCTATGCTATTTTGAGATGATCTTACCTGGTAAGATAAGTGAGGTTGGTGACTTTGACCCAGTAAGTGTTTACTTGTTTTATGTTGGTAAACAGTTACTTACTTGGTCTTAGGAGTCGTTTACTAGACACTTGGTCGTTTACTAGACACTTACCCGGGGTAAGTGCCTACTGCTAACACTTACTTTACATATTGAGCAATGCAAGAACCGAGAATATTACCCCGTAAGAGGCATAACAAGGACCGCAAGTCTTACCTACTAAGAGGCATAGCAAGGATCAAAAGTCTTACCTGGTAAGTAAGGGAAAAAACTCTTACTCGGTAACCGTTTACAGGGTTTAAGATGTTTACCAACAATCCATTCTGAAGGTCGAGAATATCACCCGACAAGGTAAGTGAGGGTGATGTTTTTTGCTGATAAACACTTACCCGTTAAACGTTTAGTGAACGGTCCCTTAGTGTTGACATAAACAATGTTTTTACCGTGTTTGCGCTTACGCAATCTGTGTTGGTAAATGGCTCCTAAGAGCATTTCCAACATATTCTTCACCATTTTTGAACATATACAAAGGGCTAAAGAGAGAAGTCCATGGAGAACTACCATGGTGAAAATAGAGATTTTCAACTAAAATTGACAACTAATATTATACAGAGTTTAATGGAAAAATAATATAACAACCTTTAAGGTTTTGTCTGGTTTGTAGGAATGGAATGGACTTGGGAGATTTGAATTTCAAATCCATTCTAATTTCATGTTTACTTTGTTAGATTGTCCGGATTTGAAATCTTAGGATTTAATTGAAATCCTATGGACATAGGATTTTGAAATCCAAAGAGGATGCTCAGGATTTCATAAACTGTATGAAATAAGGTTTTATAAAATATTAAAAACACTCGTTTTGTAATAATCGATTAATAAAAATGTAATTTGATTATTTTTTATAATAATTTATAATTTTTTATAAATTATTTATAAATAATGGAATCCAATTCCATTTCAAATCCTACAAACCAAACACACCAATGATTTCAAATCCATTCCAATCTAAATCCCTCCAAATCCAAATCCCTAAAAAACAATCATGTAAACCAAACGGACACTAAGGGGTTGTTTGGTTGGTGGTTTTTTTTTTATTATAGCATGCATAGTTTAAATTGTATATATGAATTAAATTAAGGAGCCGTTTACTAAACGCTTACCCGGTAAGTACTTAGTGGGTAATTTTCTTTACTGGATGAACATGACAATGGTCAAAAATCTTACCCGGTAAGAGCAGTGATAAAGATGAAGAGTTTTACTCGGTAAGTGGGGGCGACGACTCTTACCCGGGTAAGCGCTTACCGAGTAAATTGTTGTATACAATACCATTTTGGTGTACTACAATCATATACGGTAAAATAAATTACAGTCTTGACTCCTAATGGTAAACGCTTACCGGGTAAACATTTAGGTAAACGACTCCTAAATTATTATTTGTTTATTGTGCTGAATAAAGGATCACAATGATAAAAATGTCTAGAATAAACTACAATTTTGGTCCCTATGGTTTGTAAAAGATAACATTTTTTATCTCTACAGTTTTGAAATTACAAGATAACCATCATGGTTTGTAAAAACGTCTAGATTTGGTCCCTCCCTCTGACGGCTCTTAAAAAATTCCGTCAAGAGAGGTGCATTTTCATCCTTTTTTCTTTGTATTTTATCCAATCAAAATCGATTTTATAGTATTTGGTCACAGTGGTTTTTGATTCGATAAAAGACAAATAAAAATCGATAAAAGGACGAAAATATGTATCATTTAACGTAATTTTTTAAGGATCGTTAATAGGAGGGACAAAATCCAGTGTTTTTGAAAACCATGATAACCTTCTTGTAACTTCAAAACTGTAAAAACAAAAAGCGTTATTTTTAACAAACCATAGAAATCAAATTTATAGTTTACTCAAATGTCTAATTTACCCCTACTACACACACAGTCTTTAAAACCCATTAAGGGGCCGTTTATCCAAATACTTACCCGGTAAGTGTTTACCGGCATGAGTCAACACTATAATCTATTTTACCAGATAAAAGATTATAATATATTAAAACGGTATCGTATGCAACAATTTACCTGGTAAACACTTACCCGGGTAAGAGTTCTAACCATCACTTACCGGGTAAGACTCTCTATTCTTATCATCGCTCTTACCGGGTAAGATTTTCAACCCTTGCCATGTGTATCAAGCGAGGAAAGTTATCCGATCAACACTTACCTGTACAGATGGCCAAATGAGCCCAGCCCAGCCTGTAACCGCCAGAGGATCGGAACCGGAACCGGAGAGGGACCGGAACCGACCTAGACCGGTAGGGACCGGAACCGACCTAGACCGGTAGGGACCGGAACCGACCGGAACCGGTTGTGGACCGCCGGTTATGAACCAGTTAGTGTTTTTATCGTTTTCTAGCACCGGAACCGGTTATGTAACCGGTTATAGGACCGGCCCGGCCCGGTCAATGAAAGTCAACAAAAGTCAAATCTGGTCAAAGTAGCCGTTAGAAGTCAAAATAGCCGTTGGGAATAATCAAACTAGCCGTTATGGACGAATTTTGACCCTTTTTTTCATCTTCTAAGCTACCAAATTAGTTTAAATAGAGATGGGAGTTTTCTAGTTAACATACCAACTCATCTCATCTTCAAAAACGCAAAAAACGCTCTCAATTCTCGGTTTTTCGCTTCATTTTGTGAATTCGTTACGTATTAATTTCTCGTTTCCACTTCACAATTCTCGTTTATTTCTCTCTTTTACTTACAAAATGGCCGGTGAACAACCATCAAACGAACAAGTTGCCCAAATTCTCGCTGAACACGGACGAAAGTCCGAGATTTGGAATCACTACAACTTGGTGGTTCTCACGACCGGAAAACGAAAGGCACAATGCAAAATATGTCAAACTCTCCTTACGGCGGAAGAAAATTCTACGTTACGGAGGCACACCGAAAAAATTTGCCCGGGGTTGAGATCGGGGGGCGATTCAAGCCAACCGATACTTGACACCCAAGGTCAAATATGGTCCTACGATGCCGATTTGAACCAACAAATGACAACACAATGTGTCATTCAAGTCGGTTTGCCTTTCGGACATTTCGACAACCCTCACGTTACGAAGATGATTCAAAAGACGCTACAACCACGATACAAGCCGGTAAGTCGTCAAACCCTTAGACGTGATGCTATAAAAATGTGGAAAATGTGTCATTCCAAAATGCAACAAATGTTTTCCGCTTTGCCTAACAATATTTCTTTAACGTGTGATGTATGGAGCGCACCATACGGATTGCCGGTTTCGTATATATGCATAACGGCACATTGGGTTGAGCCTACAACATGGCATTTATTCAAACGTGTAATCGCGTTTGAACCGTTTGGTGCGCCACATTCGGGTGCACGTCAATTTTCGATTATTAAAAAAACTCTTGCATTTTATAATTTAACAGCTAAAATAATTAGTATTTCATTTGATAACGCTAGTAATAACAATTCTTGTGTGAAAAAATTGAAGTGTCATTTGACACCTATTTTGGACGGTAAATTATTTCATATACGTTGTTGTGCATATATAATAAATTTAGCCGTTCAAGACGGTTTAAATACTTGTAAACGTAATAGATAAGTTTAGACTTATGTTGCGGCGAATTTTCACAAAAGGTAAAAAAATGCATGCAGTCTATAGAAAGTATTGCCAAGACGTCGGTTTTAGAGCTTTGGGACCGAGCCACGATATGCCCGTTCGTTGGAACTCGACATATTCTATGATTGAAAATTTATTAAAACAAAAAAATTATATTTTTTCTTTTTATAGAAACCATTACCCGCAAAACTCTATTGGAAATCTTAATTGGGCTGTGCTTGAAGGATTGTACGACATTTTAGGGGATTTTAAAAATACGACAACACTTTTATTGGGAATTTATGATCCAACAAGCCCTTTAGTTTTAAACAAAATCTATATTTTGGCAAGTAAAATTGTCCAATACGAAGACCATCACAATTGGGGAAGGTTGATATATTGCATGGAAAAAAAATTGTTACAATATTTTATGGGCATCCCATTTGCTTTTCTTTGTGCTGCGGCGTTAAACCCGTATTTAAATATTGTTGGTGTTGAAGTTTTAATTACACAAATATGTGTGGCTTTTGGTTTGGATACCGTTACGGATAATTCTTTTTCAATTGAACAAAAACGTTTATTTAATCGCAATTTTCAAAATTTATTTGATCATTACAAACATTTCTACGAAGGAGGAAACCAACCACAAACACCTTTCTCACGTGGTTTTGCGGGTTCTATTTCTTCTTCTAGTGGTTATCGACAAAGTCGTAAAGAGTTGATGACTAATTTAATGAACGAGGTTTTAAATGAATCAAGTAAAAAAAGTCGATATAATAACGGGACAACGAGAGTTGATGACTAATTTACATATTTAGTTCACCCAAATCGTTATCATATCGACTTTTTTTACTTTATTCATTTAAAACCCCGTTCAATTAATTAGCCATCAACTCTTTATGACTTTGTCGATGACCACTAGAAGAAGAACTAGAACCCACAAAACCACGTGAGGAAGGTGTTTGTGGTTGGTTTCCTCCTTCGTAAAAATGTTTGTAATGATCAAATAAATCTTGAAAATTGAGATTAAATAAACATTTTTGTTCAATTGAAAAAGAATTATCCGTAATGGTATACAAACCAAAAGCCACACATATTTATGTAATTAAAACTTTAACACCAACAATATTTAAATACGGATTTAACGCCGCAGTACAAAGAAAAGCAAATGGAATGCCCATAAAATATTTTAACAATTTTTTTTCGTGTAAGACATCAACCTTCCCCAAACGTGATGGTCTTCGTATTGGATAATTTTACTTGCCAAAATATAGATTTGGTTTAAAACTAAAAGGCTTGTTGGATAATAACTTACCGATAAAAGTGTTGTCGCATTTTTAAAATCCCCTAAAATGTCATACAATTTTTCAAGCACACGACCCAATCAAGATTTCCAATAGAGTTTTGCGGGTAATGGTTTCTATAAAAAGAAAAAATATTTTTTTTGTTTTAATAAATTTTAAATCATAAAATATGTCAAGTTCCAACGAACGGACATATCGTGGCTCGGTCCCAAAGCTCTAAAACCGACGTCTTGGCAATACTTTCTATAGGCCGCATGCATTTTTTTATCTTTTGTGAAAATTCGCTGCAACATAAGTCTAAACTTATCTATTACGGGTTTACAAGTATTTAAATTGTCTTCAACGGCTAAATTTATTATATGTGCACAACAACGTGTATGAAATAATTTACCGTCCAAAATAGGTGTCAAGTGACACTTTAATTTTTCCACACAAGAATTGTTATTACTAGCGTTATCAAATGAAATACTAATTATTTTAGCGGTTAAATTATAAAATGCAAGAGTTTTTTTAATAATCGAAAATTGACGTGCAGCCGAATGTGGCGCATCAAACGGTTCAAACGCGATTACACGTTTGAATAAATGCCATGTTGTAGGCTCAACCCAATGTGCCGTTATGCATATATACGAAACCGGCAATCCGTATGGTGCGCTCCATACATCAYACGTTAAAGAAATATTGTTAGGCAAAGCGGAAAACATTTGTTGCATTTCGGATTGACACATTTTTCACATTTTTATAGCATCACGTCTAAGGGTTTGACGACTTACCGGCTTGTATCGTGGTTGTAGCGCCTTTTGAATATCTTCGTAACGTGAGGGTTGTCGAAATGTCCGAAAGGCAAACCGACTTGAATGACACATTGTGTTGTCATTTGTTGGTTCAAATCGGCATCGTAGGACCATATTTGACCTTGGGTGCCAAGTATCGGTTGGCTTGAATCGCCCCCCGATCTCAACCCCGGGCATGTTTTTTCGATGTGCCTCCGTAACGTAGAATTTCCTTCCACCATAAGGAGAGCTTGACACATTTTGCATTGTACCTTTCGTTTTCCGGTCGTGAGAACCACCAAGTTATAGTAATTCCAAATCTCGGATTTTCATCCGTGTTCGGCGAGAATTTGGGCAACTTGTTCGTTTGATGGTTGTTCACCGGCCATTTTGTAAGTAAAAGAGAGAAATAAACGAGAATTGTGAAGTGGAAACGAGAAATTAATACGTAACGAATTCACAAAATAGAGCGAAAAACCGAGAATTGTGAGCGTTTTTTGCATTTTTGAAGATAAGATGAGTTGGTATGTTAACTAGGAAACTCTCATCTCTATTTATACTAATTTGGTAGCTTAGAAGATGAAAAAACGATCAAAATTCATCCATAACGGGTAGTTTGACTATTCCCAACTGCTATTTTGACTTCTAACGGCTACTTTGACTAGATTTGATTTTCGTTGACTTTTGTTGACCGGGCCGGGTCAGGCCGGTCCTATAACCGGTTACATAACCGGTCCCGGTCTTAACCGGTTCCGGTCCCAGAAAACGATATAAACACTAACCGGTTCATAACCGGCGGTCCACAACCGGTCCCGGTCGGTTCCGGTCCATCTCCGGTTCCAGTCCTCCGACGGTTACGGGCCAGGCCAGACCCATTTGGCCATCTCTACGGGTAAGTGATTAGTAAACGGGCCCTAACAAAAGTGTGAGTTGGGCTCGGCCCAATTTTGATCTAAGCCCATATCAATTACTGAAAAGAGTTGAAATTACTTCCTCCATTCACAATCAAGCATCAGAATCCAACTAATAGCGATGGATACGGGAACGGAGTTTACTTCCGGCAGCCGTGCCGCCGCCGTCAGTTTAGAACAACAGAATCAACCTAAAAGGCTATGTCGTTCGATCTTTGAATTACCATCGGATTTCTTAGATTCATGCCGTCTTCTTGAACATCCGTCAACCTCATCAACCGCCTTCATCCCTGAACTAGAAACTAAGGAAACTACTCTGCAAGATGAAGAGTCGACGAAGGATAAAAATGTCAGTACGAGTGAGAGATTGACGTGTAATACTTGTAAAGCCAGTTTTGAGTCGCTTCAAGATCAACGGTCTCACTTCAAGTCCGATTTCCATCGATTCAATGTAAAATCTCTTGAATTAATGATGATATCTGTATTTCTACCTTATTATGTTGTCTTTACGTGAAAATTTGCTTCTTGTAAGAAGCTTATCTGTTCTGTTCGTGCGATTATTTTTGTAACTTAGACGGATTCAATCATTGGTCTTAACGCTCTATCATGAATTGAACTTGTATGCATCAGTTGTACATACTGTTGTACGCTAAAATTCTTAATTGGAACTTTATTTTTGCTTGATTCAAAGCAAATTTGTGAATATAGCACCCTCTCCATTCCACTACTAGATTCCAATTTCTCAAAAATGGTAAGGTTTCAAGACAATTAGGTCTTTGTTATAACGAAATGGACCCCAATGGAACCTACCGAACTGCACCTATATTTGTTTTTGTGTGGCTCTAAATATGGATGTGCATACTACTAGAAATGCTTTGAAATAGAATATATGAGTCAGTTCATTGGAATGCAAACTGTACCTTGATTCATGTTTGATAAGCATGCTAAGAATTTTGGAGAAGACCTTAATGTGAAACTTACTCGGCTAATACTTGGTCCTATATCAGTTTCGTTCACTAGTTACACTGAAACCAGCTTTGTAAAAGTCTTGATATGTATGCAAATTACTAGCAGTGGGATTCATCTAGTCTGATAAGAGGAACATATAATGGTGTTGATTACTATATTGTAGAAATATTCATCAATTCAGACCTTATAACCTTTCCCAATTGTGCTCTTACCTGTCAATTTATATCATCAGGTAAAGCTCACGGTTGCTGGAAAGGATACTGTGAAAGAGGATGATTTTGATGAATGGACATCTGATTCGTTAGTTAAAGATTATGACATATCAAGTATATCAGGCTCAGAAGATGAAGATGACAGAGAATCTAGCCTCCACAATGATATGAACAAGGGATTGTTGGGAAGTACTAAAAGGAAACTTTTTGTACATTTAGCAAATGGAGAAATAACTTCTTTCTGGAAGTGCTTGTTTCTAGATGATGCGGTGAAAATTCTTTTTGAACATGATAAATCTGGTACAATGGCAGATGGTGTTATGCCTTTTGTAACAGAGAGGGAAGTGACTGAAAGACTGCGTAATGTGATCCATGAACCCAGAGACAATACCCATTTTAGAGTGATGTTGCTTGCCAGTGGCGGGCATTTTGCTGGTTGTGTCTTTGATGGAAACTCCGTTGTGGCCCACAAAACATTCCACAGGTTGGTATTAATGTGATAAGCTTAAATATGCTACAATAGTTTTGTTATATTCACTTCTACTTGAAGTTTTTTATTGTATGTTATCAGTTTCCTGTTGCCTATCAAACTATGCATGATCAGGTGTCTTGAATGAAATGCTAAATGCAATCTGTTTAATGTAGATATGTCATAAGGGCCAAGGCTGGTAAAAAACAGTCATCAAAAGATGCTAGTGGCAAAATTGCACATTCTGCAGGAGCTTCAATTCGTCGGCACAATGAGCTAGCCTTAAAGAAGGTATCAGACATAATGGAATCCATCAACTCATTTTCTTTGTATCCAGACTTGAAGAATGTTTTTGACAAACTTGATCTATGAGCTAGTTTTGTAAAATCTACTATTTGTTTTGATGTGAAGTATACGAACTAAATTTGTCACTTTGATCTTATAATTGTTTAGTAATTCCATCATTTTAAAGTCTTCCCTCGGTGACCTTGGTTGGTATATGGGAATGGAAGGGTTTCATATATATTTGTGTATGACATTTTTTTCAATTTTTAAAGAGGAAAGGGAAGGAGTAAATGATTTTATCTGATATAATAGCTAAAAAAACCATGTCGCATAGCATCACCCCTTTGACCTAACTGCTTTAGCATATCCCTCTTATCATTAATTATCAATGATCATGCAGCATGATAGTATGTACCTGTTACTATAGACTTCAGCAGCAGAATCTTTTTCCATCTATTGTCCTACTAACGGTCTTTTGGTTGGTGATTTTCTAATTTGTGTGGCATCATAAGCATATACTGACATTACTTTCTCCTCAAAGTCAGTAGAGTTCAAATCTTATTTCAGTTACATTATTGTTATTTTTATTCTTTTAAGCACTTGACTAATTATCATTCAACAATTAGGAAATTCGGGAATTACTTGCTGCCTGGAAGCCTTATTTTGATGCTTCCTCTTGTATTTTCGTTCATGCTCCCTCAGACAACCGTCAACTGCTATTTGATGGTGAAACTCCATGCTTCAGTTGTCAGAGAAGTACTATCAGACGCATCCCGTTGACTGTTCGGAGACCGACATTCAAGGAAGCTCGGCGACTATATAACATATTGACACAAATTTCCGTTGAACCAGATGAAGAAATAGTGCATGTTAGTAAAGAAGATTCGAGAACTACAGATAGACATGAGGGCTTGCCGGGTTCTAGCAAAAAGAATTTGGGGGATAATTTGGATACCATGGAAGTTGCTGAAGCTAGTCTGAAGGATTTGTCTGTATCAAATGGTAAGGAGAGTCAAGTCACTCTTATGTTGACACCTCTACATGAAGCAGCAAAGGCTGGGGATGTAGAAAAAGTTCATGAACTACTAGAACAAGGTTCAGATCCTTGTGTCATAGATGAAAGGGGGAGGACCCCTTATATGCTTGCAACTGAAAAGGAAGTTAGAAACACATTTAGACGTTTTATGGCTTTGAACCTTGATAAGTGGGATTGGCAAGCTGCCAAAGTTCCCAGTCCATTGACGAAAGAGATGGAGGAATCACAGAACGCTAAACAGGTAACTTTAACGCAGTGTTCTTCATAGTTATCTCCAGTTCTTTGTTGTCTATATACATAATCTGAGTGGTGAAGTCTGAAATAATCACATCTTAATGATCAATTTATCATCATTTAATGAAAAATGATGGATCTTCAGCGACTGGATTTTGATGAACAGTGACCACTGTGAAAATAAGCACTATGGACATCGTTAAACGTGTGTTCTCGAAACCTCTTTTACGAAGGAAAGGAAAGGGAGGGAAAGAGGAGGAAAGTAAAAAAACTCGTGTTCTCGAAAAAAGTTTAGGGGGAAAAGGAAAGGAAACTGAAGGAGAGAAATCAATAAGTTTCCTCCGAAGACTTCCCTTCCAGATGTGGAAGGAAAGAGAAGGAAAAAAGGAAAGAAATTAAAACACTTTAAAAGGATTATTGAAATTACAAAACTACCCAACCTTTCATTATAAAGAACATATTTTTAAAGGGTATATTTGTAAAGAAAACACCTTTCCTTTCTCTCCTGATCAAGAACATGAAAAATTATTTCGTTTCTTCTCCTTTCGTTCCATTTCGAGAACACAAATAAAAAAATTATTTTCCTTTCCTTTCTTTTCTCTCCCTTTCTTCTCTTTTCTCCCCAAATTCGAGAACACGGCATAAAAGAGGGAGGGTGTGGATGGGTCCACTCTGTATCTGTGTGTGTGTTTTATAGAGAGCGCAGGATAACTCTATTTGATTGTTTCCCAGGCAGAGAAAGATGCTAAAAGGAAAGCAAGAGCAAAAGAACTGAAGAAGCTGCGGAAAGCTAGAGAAAAGAAGGCTCAGGTGTTTATCTTTATCTATAAATGCACTGAGATAAAGTTGAATCAAAATTCTTGAATACACCTTAAAACTGTTTTGCTTAATTAAATGTGAATAAACTTACCATATTTATAACTATCATGATCATCCACATTTAAATCTTCGATAAAAAGGTTTGGTCGTGTGGATTGTGAGGTGAAGTATTTTGATGATCATTTTCTTTTTCTTTTTTTCCTCTTTCTCAGCATTCGGATAAATAGAAATGAATCCGAATTTTTATTTCCATTACAAGTTTTTAGAAGTTATTTCTTAGCCTTATCATTTCGGTGCCAAAATGCAGGCGGAGGCTGCCCAATCACAGAAATCTTCATCATCAACTCAATTACAATCCAGCAGACCGCAGATGACTAGAGAGGTACATTCCTTATTTGGTTTCTGTTGGCAGGAGCTCCATTTTTTCACTTAAACACATCTTCATTTGCTTGAAACATGAAATCTGATTCTCAACTTCTAGGAGACTAAGGCTGTTGAACCGATTTCGTAGAGAACCAGATGTTAAGAGTGATTCATATTAATGAGTTCACATTAGTGCTCCATGATATTGGGGTTTAGATTTTTTATGAACACTATAGTTGTCAATTTTGGTATCAAATCAAGAATTATATTGATTTCATGCAGCATGAATTGAAGTGAACCATAATTCGCATCAACTTTTTCTAAAAGGCTTGTCTAATGTATAAATATAATAAAAGCTTAACATTCTAATGATGATGCATAATCCAAAATGATGGTTACATTGATCACCTTAACATGGTCATTTTGCCGTTGGTTGTTGGGTAGATGTTTACCAAACGTCGACAAAAGAAATTCCTTTTATTCATAAACCAAACCAATAAACTCAGTTAATCTTACACAAAGGTAGGGTCAAGGGTAGGATGCACATAGACCTTGCGTGTACTCCAAAGGGTAGTAGAGAGACTGTTACCATGAAGACCCCCAACTTGCAAAACAAAAATAAAAATACAAGGAGACAACCGAGAAAAGTAGCAATAAGAAATACTTCTACTCATGTGGCTACTAATAAGTTTTAGTTCCCGAATCACCAAAAATAACATGTATAACATAAGAAATCATGGGTAATATGTAGAGTCGTGAGTAATACAAATTGATTTGATGCATGCGCAAACCGGCCCGGACACCCACGGTTACCCAAAAAAGAAAACATTATAGTTTACAAGAATGAACGGTCTTGGAGAAATAGAGGACTTGTAAATTCAAACAACGCCATTATATTTGGCTCTTTTTGTCTAACATTGGCCGTTTTTCCAACGCCATTATACTTGTTTGCGATGAAAAGTCAATTGCTCTAAAAGAAATACCGACTGCCAAATTTAAGTTGTTCGAGCTCCGGAAGTCACCACTATAGCTCCATCGGAGATCCATTGGGGGATCGCCAGAGGTCTGATGGTTGTCGAAAATAGTTGTACATGTCACTTTTGAAAACAATGAACACATAGGGGAGGATTTAAGGAGAGAGGGGTACCCGTGCTACCGCTCTATCGTGCTGACATAACCAAACCATAATTTTTATAATTAATTTTTGTTTTATTTTATCTTATGCTAACTATTTTTGTGCCTCCACTTTGATTTTTTTCTGGATCCGCCTTTGTGAACATATTTTTCGTCATTGCAGGAAGAACTAAAACGAGCCCAAGATGAAGAGCGGGAGAAGAGAGCTGCTGCCGCTGAGCGTAGAATTGCAGCCCTCCAATCCTCAACTCCAGGTTCCGCTACATCATCCGACACCTTATGTTCGTGTTGTCAAGCATCGTTGGCTGGTAAAGTTCCGTTTCACAGGTATAATTATAAATACTGCAGCACATCATGCATGCATGTTCACAGAGAGATCCTTGAGGATGAATGAATAACAAATTAACGTTAGCTTTTTCCGATTTTACCGCCTTCCCTGTTTTCAATTTCCGATGATTGAATCGTAACAATTGATTTCTTCTGCTCGTTAAATCTTAATCCGAAAGTAGTCATTTTCTGTTCCAGATGTCGATACCATCGAGTTTTGATCGCTGAACTAGGAATTATTTTTCTTCCACTTTAATCCTGTACTCGGCCTATTTCCCCGTTGGGCATGTTACCCCTAACTCTACCTCTACGTGGGATTTACTGCTTAGGAGTGTTAACGAGGCAAGTCGAGTAGTAAGTTGTTCGAGCTTGGCTCTAAAAGAATAGGATCGGGCTCGAGCTCGAATAACTTTTTAAAAATAGAGCTTGAGCTCGTGTTTGGTGGTCGTTTAACAAATTTGAATTATACATTATACTTAAAGTTCAAGCTTTATAAAGTCGTTTATAGGCTCGAAGTTGAGATCGATTAACTAGTTTATTGGCTAAAGCTCGATAATCTTATATTTTGAATGTATAATTATGAACATATAAACATGTTTGGGTCAAAAAATGTAGATCGAATGGCTCAGCGTGGCTTGAAATTTTTATCCGCCTTTCTAATAAGACGAGTCGAACATTGGTGTCATGTAGCTCTACTCATTAACTATTTGTGTTAAAGATCGATTCGAACTCGGGAATTACTGAACTAGAGCTCGAGTAGTTTGTTAAAATCTCGAATTTGTTTGAATTGGTTTATTCTACCGTCTCTAGCCTTCTTGGGTGGCTGTTGGATGGAACGGAAAACGGAGTCTCGTGTGGACTCTAATTCCCAACAAACGTCCATCGAACGCTCGAGGTGTGAGGGCCAACTTAAACGGTACTAGACCGGAACCGGGAACCGGAATCTATGTTTGATTCTTGGTTATAGATTTTCAAGTGAATTACATTTTTCGGGTTTGTGTAATTGCGTTTTTTTAACGAGTTGGATCTTTTATGCAACCATAGAGAAACAAGTTTTTAGTTTATTTAGGAACTAAACTTGTTAAACAAACTGTAACGACAGGGACCTAGCTCGTTAAAATGCAACCACAAGGACATGTTCTGTTAATTCTTTGAAGTAGAGGCGGGATCCGTTAAAAACATTAAACCACCGGAACAAAAAATATAATTTGCTCTAGTTTTTTTTTTTATTAACCTGGATATCCAAACCGTTATGCGAGTCGACTAATCCCAAAACGACAACCTGCTTTGCAGATAGCCCGGAGTTATCGTATTTAAACCTCTGTAGCTACAAGGGGAATTTTATTACTCTTTCGATTTGAACCTGTGACCTCCTGGTACTTTTGATCTTTGGAGTCAAACTTAAACCAATCAAGCACCACCTTTATGGTTACTTGTAAACGCTTTTACTATATCGATTTTCAGATTGTTTTGACTCTTACAAAAATAAGGTATAACTGGTCCTTAATGCATGATGAAACTTCTTCATATATGTGGGTTTTAACAGGTTCTGTGATAACTTATCATTTAAAAGGAACTCGTATCTAATAAAGATAGATTGGTTATCCGAAGTCGAACCATTTCCATGAGATGTTCCTACTTTACATTGCATCGTATCTTTCTATATGTATCCTACAATAACGAAAAGTCGAAAACCGTAGAAGATCATGACCGGTCAAGGATTTTGATTGGAACAGGTTGAAAAAAGGTCTGGGACCGGTGGGTTGAGGAAACTTTGTACAAGTGGTTAAAATGGAACGGTTATAAGGTCTGATTTAAAAGGATCGGTTAACCAATTCAAAAGGACCAATCGAGAATCTAAATAAAATTAGCCATTTTAAAAAAAAACGCTATACGAGCAATTTTTGGCTCTTTTAAGCATCCATGATTATAAATAAGTGATATAAGTTGTTCGTGATATGAAATTATAGAAAATCCGTAAATTTTATTTGTATTTTATAAAAGGGCAAAATGCACAAAATAGCAATCTACTTTCATAAATTTATTTATTATAGCATTGTACTTTTAGTTTTTCTTATTACAGCAATATACTTTCAAACTATTTTTTATTAGGACATTATACTTTGAAAAATTTACCCATTATAGCAATGGGTAACCTTTTGATTTACATTTACCCATTATACTAGGTTTTCATGCCACCTCATTGTTCACGTAGGCTGTCCACATGTACTATAGTGATGTGACTTTCTTACTACATCATTGTACTTTCAAAATTATTTTATTATAGCATCTACTAGTTCTTAATAAACACTGTATTTTTAATTTTAATATTTAGATATTTTACATGTTATTTAATAAATGCATTAAATGAATTAAAAAAATTCTAAATTATTCATTAATATACCAATATCAATAAAACTAGTAGAACACAACTTATCTCGCTAACATTTTTAAAAAAAATATGTGTTTTTTGAAAAAAGGAAAATAATAATTGTTCTCTTTTACCAAAAAAATATTATCTTTTAAAAAATATATTATATTTGTTCAAAAACTTTTTACTTGACGTATAAATATATTAAATTAATTAGACCTTTTTGAATTATTTATTAATATAACAATATTAAAAAATTGTAGATAACAATTTATTTCGTTAATATTTTAAAGAGAACTTTAAAAGATATGTATTTATTTTAACAACATAAAAATAAGAAAAAATTACCTTTTTTACAAACAAAATATATCTCGAAAATAATGTTTCATATTTATTTAATAAATATTTTACTCTAAGAATATTTAATTTGAATGCAACTTAATAAGAAAAAGTAAAAAAAATTAAATGTTTTTTTTGGATCATAGTAATGAAAAATGAAAATCATTAATAATAATTTGAAATATATTTTTATTTTTATTTTAGTTAAGTCATCAAAATGATGTGGCATCCAYATCACCTCATTAAAGCCACACAAGCAAAAAAGTCAAAGGGTTAACCGGTTTAAAAGGTAACAGGTTACACATTGCTATTATGGGTAGATTTTTTAAAGTACAATGCCTTAATAAAAAATAATTTGAAAGTGCATTGCTGTAATAAAGAAAAACAAAAGTAGAATGCAATAATAAAAAAATTTATGAAAGTAAGTTGCTATTTCATGCATTTAACCCTTTATAAAATGATAAATTTTTCATTTGTATTCCAAAATACGCAAATTGTAGAAATTTGTAGGAAATTTTGATTAAAAAAATCAGTCCATACCATTACTTAGGACAAATTTTGATTGAAGATCAAAACAGACTTAAAAAGTTATAACATTTCCAGTAATAACTGGTTATGGGACCGGTTAAGACCCGAAATTGGATCAGTCTACCGCAAACCACTATCTTGAAGACTTTCAACCCACCCTCTATCCTTTTAATTGTAGTCCTACCGGCAATCAAATAACGAGTCTAAATCAGCTTTTTTTTTACAAATCCTTGTCCAAATCCCAAAAAACGAGACTAAATCAGCTTTTTTTACATCTGAGGAGTAATAATCTTTTCAACATTCGACAACACTTGAATATACACTTGGTTCGATGGTAAAATAGACCAAAAAAAGCAAAATCGATCGCTAAAAAGTCGATGTTCAACTGTCTAACTTTTTAATTCTCCTAGAAGCAGGATTTTTTGACCGGCGTAACCGGACATTTTTGGCCGGGCATCATAAGAGCATCTCCAACAGCTATTGTATAATTTTTCTAAAATAGAATATCAAAAGTTAGAATTCCTCCGTCGAAGGATAAAAAAAATTAGATTTGTAAAAGGTGCAACCGTATTAATTTATTGTGTGCCACCATATGTACTTTAAAACTACAATGAGAACAAGTTTTATTTAATAGAGTTGGTTTGCAAGGCTTTTATTCCACCCCAAATCCAAGTTCAAATCCTTTTAGTGTCATTTTCTTAATTAAATAATACCACCGTTTGAAAAAAAAATTGTATATTTGTTTCTTATAGTCAAACGGTGTCATCGTCTGAAAAAATTTCCCCATATTTTTTTCTTATAGTCAAATGATGTCACTGTTTGAAGGAAAAAAATCTGGGTCCATACCTACTAACCAGACCGGTTACGATCTCCATCGGGCCCAGGCCCGTTTATCCAACACTAGGCCCTAGTGAACTTGATACAAGAATGTTCTAGAAATAAAAAACCTTTGTATATCAAATGAAAAGATAAGCAATTTTGTGTTACAAAGATACAAACAAAATTCTCCTTTGATCATATTTATTCACTTCTAAATGGCCCTCGCTAAAGCTGCTGCTATTATATTTTCAACACTAACAAACAAGTGGCATCAATAACAAACAAATTATTAAAACAAAACACACACACACACACAGAGTTTAAAGATACCGTTATCAACACGACCGTAGCAAAACAGGTCCAACCGCAGACCCGAGCATCTCGCTAAGAGCCACTTGAACATCACTCGACCCATGTTCACACCTAATCAAGCTCGATATCAGCGGGAAATAGCCACCTAGGTTCTTCTCAAACGAAGAATCACCCAAACTACATACGGCCTGTAGAGTTACAACGATAAGTGGAGCACGAGCCGCCAGTTCCCTCTTTTTACCAGACCCTAAGGGTATCGACCACCGGGGGTGGACCCCGGAAGACGGTTCGTTCGTAAGCGCTATTTCGACGTAGAATTTCAGTACTTCTTGGGAAAGGGTAACCAGGGTCGATTCCACTTTAGATTGCTCGTAAAACGGAGGTTTATCAAGTGCAAGATTCTGGATAAATGTTAGGCAGATTTGGTAGGATTCGTTCTCGAGACGTAGTAATGGCGGATCCTGCATTTGTGTCATGGGTCCGAATTCTTGTAGCTTGGCGCGTAATGTGGTATCGACATTTATCTTGTGAGCATGAGTTGCGACTCCATGCACTGCATCGAATAGAACCATGGTGTTGTTTGCTGATAGATGAGGTCTATACATGTTGTAGATCTCCGTTATTGCCTGAAAATTTTACGGAGAAGATTATATCTAATTTCTTTCGAACATAACCGACCATATTCAAATACTTCTTCCATCCCAAAATAAATGTCCATGATGGAAAAGGCACATAGTTTTAGAAATGCGTAATTATTACACTTTTTAATTAATTAAATGACAATTTTACCCTTAATAATAGATAGAGTAATGAACTTCTCCATCTTATAATTAAGGGTAAAATTGGAAAGTAAGTACTTGCTTTTTAAAGTGGACACTTATTTTGAGACGGTGAGAGTATATTCAACGACCTCATAATCCAAATCCGGCATGATACGGTTAATTGTAAAAAAACAAACGGAGCTAGTAAAAATATGGTCTCGGTGACAAAGGGATAGAGAGGTCGTTTCCGTGACATTGAAAAATAGGGTTGATAGAACCTTTTGCTTTTACACAGAATCTACAATAAAATTGGTTTTATAGGACGTCAAATATATCTAAATGTCCTAATAAACTCTTTTATGGGATCAAACACTTATGCGTCATATTTAAAGGTGTTACAATAGGATGTTCGGTAGTATTTGAGAATCGTAACAAGGCTTTTAGGACGCTTTTGTAATAAAGTGTCTTATTAGCTTTTTCCTAAAATGTTTTTATAAGGCATTTTTTCGAGCAATATCATATGAAAAGCCTCATAAAACGCTTTATTTCAAAAGTATCCTACAAAATTTGATAGGGCACCCAAAATCGTCCCATCAACTTATTGTAATACTTTTACATAGGACATACAATTGTTTGGTCCTATAAAACAGACTATCAGGACATTTAGATACATTTGACGTCTTATAAAGATGATTTTGTTGTAGTGATGGTAGGCCAAGCTGCAAGTTTACGGTTATGAAGCATATGCAGACAAAAAAGGATTCATGACAAACATGCTGGAAGCATTTAGGCAATTAGACCCCAAAACTTTACATTGAGACATAAACGAGACCAGGCTGCCATAGAAATCAAGATATACACCTGTTCGTTTCATATCAGAAAACTTCTATAGTCTACATCCCAACAATTCACAACTCGGATCTAATCTAGGACATGGTCCTCAATTGCAACTTCTTTAAAACCCCTAACTTTGTTTCTAAAAGTAAACTAGGGGAAATAATTACACATGCAAACATGTTAACGATAAGCATGTAAAGACAAATGTGGGGTCAGAATTCTGAGGAACAATTCAAATAAAGCCATTTAGCCTAAGAACACCACTCTAAGGATTATTTTGATACGCGGAGGGCACTGTACATGACAGGACTGAACTGAAAGAATTGTAGAAGGTTTTAACTTGACATGAGTAGTTTATAATTTACCAATCTTGTCCCATCTCCCTGATTTTTGTTCCACCTATTTTGATGGGACCAAAAAAATGCATTTTTGTCAGTCTTGTCCAGTCCCGGTCTCATTACCGCACCAAACATGGGACAACAAGCTTTTGTTCTGTCCTGTCGAGTACCATCCCGCATGCTAAATGCACGAGTTAAATAAAGATAAGGTTGCAGGGAGTCTAAGTGCCCAACTGTTTTACTTCAAAAGCAGTTTAACGGAGAGATGATTATAATGAGAATGTCCAATAAGCATACAATCATACATACCTGGATCAGTAAAAGCTGAACTGCAGCATGGCATTTGGCATCGGAAATGGCAGCATATACACGATTCTTCTGCAGATTCTCCAAATTGTCATCCTGCATACTAGATTCAGCAGAGTCCCCATTACTTTGTCTTGTTGAAACATCTTCATACTTCAAGTTCATACCATCTTTATTGAGAATGAATGAGAAATAGGGAAGTGTTGCATTAGCTGCTTCCTTAAGGGACAAAACCACTTCAAGCCATTTATCGTCAGTAAAGAATTCTCCAGCACTGCTCATCAAACGAACAAATGCAGCAATACCAATACCAGCAAGGCTTTGGTGAGGACGTTTGATAAAACTTACTAATAACAACAGAACCTTCTCCAGAAGCGGATTAAGGGTGTCATAGAAGTTGACAAAAAGATCCATAACCAACTGGAGGGCAAGAGTGCATGTCTCATACAGCCAAGAGTCTTGATCAAGCTCGTCCACATCAACATCGACCCCTTGTTGCAGTTGGCCCTCACCAGAAGGATCATAAGCATGGCGGACATAATCAAAGATGGGAAAGAGGGCCGAGTCAAACACCCTTTCCCACAGTGGCAGAGAGAAGTGACCGCCATAGTTCCTTAATGTATCAAAGAGTACTTGAAGGGCACTCTTCCTAATCTCAGGCCTCGGGTCAAAGCTAAGTTCAGACAATCCTGAGAAAATACAAATTGATGTGTGTATAGAGTTAATATACCAATTACTAAATTATGATGAGCTAAGAAGAAAATGGAGATGCCACCTCAATATCACATAAAGTTTATTTATATAAGAAAGTTTAATTATTTTTCTCACCAGCCAATAATGGAAACCAGAAGTATAAATGATCTTCCTTATCTGCCAACCCTCCACGCTCATAATTCCCATCTTTTCCTTGCTGACGTGGAGAAGGGGAAATCTTTTCAGAAGATTCCTTGTCCTTGTATATTGAGGAGGATCCTAGATCTCCTTCAGCGAGTTTGGCCGCACAGAAACGCAAGAAACTGATAGCACTGAGACTAATATCTTTGTCAGATCTGTTATTGGTGAATGCGATTAGACAATTTACACAATCTGTAAAAGTTGTGGTTTCTGTCTCTGTAATGTATGGGAAATAATCTCGAACTATCTTCTCAATTATTTCAAAGGCGAGAAGTACAATGCTTTTGTGGTCATCAGAAGCTGCTGCCGTGAAGACCTGGTAAATGTTCCCACAATCAGAAATCAAATGAAAATGCTATTCAAAAAAGTATATTTAGCACGAATCAAGAGGTAAGAACTTCCAATACCATGAACATGCTTTTCCATCCGGACTTGACATTATTCACACGTGATAAAACCATTTGAGAAACACATCGGATTATCAATTCTCTAATTTCCACAGCGCTACTCTTGCGCATGACAATCACAAAAGGCTTCATAAAATCATTCTGAAAATTGTAATTAGACAACTCTTCTCGCTCTAAAAACTTCATAGATAGTTGGCGTAAAGAGTCCATGGCAAATATTGCAATTGACAAGTTCTCAGAACAGCCTATGGTCACAAAAAAATCAGAGAGTACATTCCAGATGCTTGTCCACACGAGCCTGATGCGGTTCATGTTGTAGTGGCTGCACAAGGAAGAAAATTTTGAACAGGTTATAATACAAAAAAGCACATGCTAAGAGAACAATAAGCATCATACATAACTACAAATAACACGAAGTAATGAAGTGAGACAAAAGAATCAGATTCATACGCAATCTCAACTATTTTTGTGAGGCTGAATACTCTCGGGTCAGATGTAGAACGTAACTCCTCCATAGACACCTTACAAAGTGCCTTCACAAAGTCTATTATAGCCTCGCTGTTTAGTTTCTGACTCCTTGTGAATATACGATTCATTTCTCCAACTTGTTCCAACATGCTTAAGTTGGAGACCAAATTGTTCACCTGTTCTGATGTAATACCAGCAGAAGCATTGCCGCCAATGCCAGCACTATCATATGAACCTCTTCTCATAGCTGCAGCTACCTGATGAATCCTACCAGCTCCCTTTTTCCTAAGAACAGGAAGGATATTTGATTTTGGCTGTGATTTGTTAGATTCATTCTGATTAACAGCAAAGAATGTGGCATCTGGAGGAGCCCCCTCTCCCAACAAATGCAAGTGCTCAAATCGAGAAACACAAGTCAAAATATGCTCCCAGGCCTCCTGTAGGTAATTCCCATCTTCATATGCAATTGTAACCATTGCCTGTGAGACAAAAAAGATGCTAATAAGAAATCCATGCCAAAAGAAACAGCAGGTGACATTGAGATGAGCATACATGAAGAGAACTATTGACATCATACATCTCTACAAACTTTTAAAAACGGTTCTTTAAACTTCACATCTCAGGTTTCCTTTTATTAATAGAATTGCAAGTTTTGCCAGCTTCCATCAACAATCCCTTTATAGATCTAGCGATTGTTCCTTTATCTTCTAGCATACAAGATTATCACTTGCAGTTTTCCTCTCTTTAGTCATCAAAAATGATGCAAGGGTATCAACTGAACATTCGATGTACATTAGCAAGAACATCTTGTTTATCAAACAAAATATCATAAGTGCTTGTAGCTAATCATTGTACTCCCTCAACCTTTCGTTTGTAGATCTAGATGCACTCCAGCAAACCCTGAGTTTGAGTATTAAATATGCTATATTGACGTTGGTATTTGGATTTAAACATTATTGTGTTGCCAAAAAAGAAAATCTACATAAAGTTGGTTAAACTCTAATTGTGTGTTGACACTTTAATTGGCCTTGTATAACTTACTAGAGACTTTATGTGTGCTCCATGGTTTTGGGTACTTTCTAGCTTCCTGTATATTCAAGATTAAAGTTTATTTCCACCCTCTTTGTTTAGCTGATATCTCCCTCTACCTAAGAACAATTCTTGATATAAGCCATGCAGAAATACATTTAGAACCATGTACATCCACAATCAACCAGAAAGTCATTGTGGATGTCAAAATTGACTTGTCGATACTTCAAGCACTGTTGCTCAAAATGACTAAGCAAGGTGAGACCATGGAATGGTGACACAAACCTTGATGGCCTCTATATTCTTTTGTTTAATATCTGCTGGTGAATGAAGGCAGGTAAACTTTGCAAGCGACGTCACAAAAGCATCTCGATGAGTCTTCATGGACATTGCTGCTGTAACATGTACTGCATACCGGAAGCCTTCCAGACATTGAGCAATTACTATGTCATCGTCACTTTGATCAAGAGGAACACTAAAGGCAGCAAGCATAGGAGCCCAGCATACCTCTACCATGAATCTGAGTATAAAGACATCTGTTGCAGCATAATAAACTGACCTACAAAATGGCAATGTGGATTAAAAGAATGAAAGGTTAGAGATGACACGACATGATGCAACCATAACCACTTTCTCCAAGAGAAGACATTAACAGGGGAAAGAAAAAGCATATGAAAGAAATCTGAAAACTAATCAGTAAGCATTTGGATTCATTAGTGGACAGACTAATCATGCACAAACAAACGGAAAACAAAAATGTGGAGGGCACTATCATTTTACAAAATTATCCAGATAACATGCTGATAAAAGAATAATGCAAAATAATTTGAACAGCAAGTAGGTTTCATTAGCCACTCTTATTAATAAATAGATGTTTGCATCTTACTCAGATTTTTGTGCCTTCTCTTTAAACTGTTCTTGCATGTGTTGCATAAGATCATCGCTCGTATTACTTTCATCAGCTCTCTTGCGCACCACAATGTTTAGGATACTGTCTAAACCCAAAATCCTGTTTGAATTTGCAGACTGCCTCTGTTGAAGGGCTAGATCATCTTCTTTCATTTTAATTTCATTTTTTGATATTCGTGCATACAATGATCTTAGGTACTCTGCGGGCAAATCTTTTCCATCATCTATGCCACGATTATTTCTTATAAAATCATCAGCTGACATCTGCATAGTTAAACACATACTCGGTGTTAGCAAAACTATAAGGTCACTGCTATATAAACACCAAATGAACTTTTCTGAAATGCAGCAATACCTTATTCTTAACCATGGGATTATGAGCATCAGTATTGAGCAGTATAACAGAGTAGGCAAGGACATAGGCTGTATCAGCACTAATGAATGCCTTAGGATTGCATTTGCAGTAACGTTCAGCAAATTTTTCCATAATTCGATCAATCTTCTGTGCCTCACCAGGCAATCTAAATCCTCGTAGAAAGGATCTGATTGCCTCATCAAAATCCATACCTTTAAAGTCAAAGGAATCAACATAAGCATGCATTACTTTCAGCGATAGATCTTCTCTTTCCCCAAGGTAATCACCAATCAAACTCTTGTTCAAACCAGAAGCATTCTTTAAGAAATCTGCTATTTCTTCAGGCGAATTCCCCACTTTATTCACGTTGATCAAGAATTCGATGCCTTTTTTAGGTTTCCTATTAAAAAGAGAGATACCTTCCTGCCATTAATCCAACATTAGATCTCTGGGAAAATACCAGATGGAACAGAATCATGGTGTCATAGATAAAACTGTTTCAAGGATATTGGTGAAAAACATTAACCTGAAGTTCAAGCTTGTAAGCCCGGCGCTGCTCAATTGTTGAAGCATCTGAAACTTCATTAGAGGCTTCGGAATGAGAATCCAGCCCATCAACAGGCTCATTCTCATTTGCATTCCCATTTTCCATGGGAGAATCTCCCATTTCCGAATTGTTCTCGACAAACTCAAATTTCTTTTCTGAATGAGGATCAGGAATGTGCAACTGTTTGTTCATCCAATCCCCCATTGATTTTAAAATAGCCACTAAGCACTTCATTGCTTCATGTTTCAAGGCTGCATCCTGGGGTGGCAAAAGGGTAGTCGCAACCCCAGGCAGGACACCTTGAGCCGTTTTAAGAAGTCCATTTACTGTCCTGTGGAAGGATTAGAACAGTGAAAGTGAGAAACACACGCGAACACCTTCATGTATATAATAAATCCTGGTTAATACTATAGCTATAAAGGCAACTTGATTGTAAAAGATCTGTGAGAATATGTGGAACCCCCAGATAACTCTCCAAAAGAGCTCTTGAGGAGAGAAGGGAGGTTCCAACGTATATAGAGGAGAATGGTCTAAGTGTAGCCGATGTGGGACTCTAATACAGCCCCTCCAATGGAGGCTAGACGGGCAAAATACTATCCCAAAGTGTCAAGAGGGGGTTAGACGGGTAAGGGGGCTAGACGAGTATATGTTGCCCCAGTGTCGAGTCCCTAAAGTGGTAGATCTTGGAGCTGATAAGTGATACCATGTGAGAATATGTGGAACCCCCAGATTACTCTCCAAAAGATCCCTTGAAGAGAAGGCAGATTCCAACATATATAGAGGAAAATGGTCCAATTCTAGCCAATTTGGGAGTCTAACAAGAACAATATAGCAATAGCATCCGATATCGTTGATATTTGTAAGATTGTCAATCGTGCCACAAAGTGACAAGCATTGGAGCAACTGGTAAGGTTACTCCCTTGGTAATCCTGTATGATTGAAAGGTTAAAGGTTCAAGTCATAAAAACAGCCTCTTTGCAAAATGCAAGTCAAATGCTGCATAGAAAGACTTCCCTCCCCAAACCTAAAACAACTAAGGAGCCTTCGTACACCAGGGTAGCCCTTTCTTTGTCAATTTTTCCATACACATTGTATTACGAAAAGAACATACCTCTCAAATATGTTAGATGAATTGACATCACAATCATAGTTGATGAATATATCTACCAAGATCTGTGAATCAACACACAGCCTTTCAAAAAATCGCAGTACAATCATCTTCTGCTGGAAATTAGGTTGAGCAACATTTTCTAGAACCCTAAGAACAATCATGGGAAAGAACACTCCAATTTCTGCTTTCAATCCAGCTCTGAATCTTGAAACCAAGCTAAAGAAGATTGAACAGGAGAGCTGAAATACAATCACAAGTGTAGATGCACTGTTCTTCAACAAAGACAGGCATAGATACTGCCTAATGGCACCCAAAAATCTGTTCCAACAAGCAAAACAGGGAGTAATATGTAAGTACAAACAGCTTGAAGTTGAACCAGAACGAAAAACTAACAATATTTTAACTGTTTAACATGATAAATAACCAACAGCTGCAAGCAGCCAAGCAGGCTTACAAACTTCCTTTGAATATGGAAAAGTTCTGAACCTAGGGAATTATTTGCTGGTTCAAAATACAACTACCCATACAATCAGCAACCCTGCTGACGAAGTCCATAATGCAACAACCTAGAGTTATTTGCTGGTTTTGAGTTCATGTACAGTTCATCATTTTTCATCTTTTGTAGGCCCAGCAACAACAAGGCTACAGTCTGCTGAATTCATCACCCATCCCACAATCAAACACTTCAATTAAACAAGCACCAATGGCAACTATGCACTAGATTTCATGATTGTTCAAAGCACACCTAGACCTAATGTTCGTCCAAGCACAAAATATACTTCAGCCCTTACCCGTGTTCATCCGAACACATGATATGCCTTAGCTCTTAAGCTTCGGAAACATTCATACTATTGTCCACCATGTCCCACAAGATCCACTGTAAACTATATAATTCCACTAATATCTTGTAGATGAATAGCTTCAAATTATGCATACGCACTTGGAGAAGAAAATTTGGCCCATAATTGATTGCATCCATACTTACACAGATACAACACGTTTAATCTTGCTGACCTAACAGTTTTTATTATCTATCCTAATTATCAATTCACATCTTTGAGTTTCAATCCAAGATAAGCTGTAAATTCTTATCTCGAAGATGACAAATTTCTTAATATTGGTCTTCAAAATTTTCACATCATTGTATATAATGGTTTATATACACAGATTAGTAGAGGTTGAATACACTAATGACAATCAAAATTCAGGCAGTCAACCAATTGTTGTGAGACAGTGAGAGTTCCATCAAGTGGAACAGGAAAAAATAAAAATAAAAAACACGAGAACCTCAAATGAGATCTGATATCCCAAGGTACAGTGCTTTGCAACTAAAATGCATAATTTGTTATTTACCTTGTAATGTAAATTGGGTCTATAACCATAATGCATAAATTATTCGTTAATTTATAAAGAACTACTATAAGTAAATGCTCTGTATGATTGAACGTTGTCTTATTGAGTAGTGAATTGTCCAGGAAAGTTTATCAGGAATTCGCAATTTGCAATTAACTGAGGATGAGTGAAAGCATTTCACAAGAGAGCTCTTTCAGTTGCAGAAGTTTATTGCATAATCACAGAATGATGCCTGAACAAAATAAGCTATCATAGTGAGATGTATTAGTCACACATACAGCTTTTTGGCCTTGGCACGGAATTATCAACAATTGGTGGCTCTTGGTCTCAATGCAACAAGTACAGGCATTATTTCATCAAATATAACCTAAAATGATCATTCCCGCATTTTCCTTGCTAAAAGTCCCCAAAAGCATGCTAACAGGCAAAAATTTAACTGAGCTATTACGTTTGAAGAGAAAAAAAAACATGCGCATGTACCTTTCACTAGTTCTAAAAATAGCCCCAGCATTCTCCAACAAAATCTTGAGCAACTCCAACGCAACAATTTTCCCTCGCATCAACTGTGGATCTGCCAATGCCTCTTTTGGAGGGGTCTTCATCGATAGCTTACATAGAGCCCTAAACACCAAAAAGGCATCCCTTCTCAGCTTATTCCCAATCTGCACATCCAAATCATCATCCCTCTCCCCCTCCCCATCTGCCAACTCACCTTTCCGTCCCTCCAATGCTGTTTTATACATGCTCATTTCCCAATATTTGGCATCCAACATATCCTTATCAGTAGAATCTAACAGATCAGCAGGATTTGTTGACTCCGTAGTCGAGGCCCTTGTCTCAAACGCCCCATCATGAGCCCCACCATTGGATCCTACCGGAGTTCCCTGATTCAAAACCCCATCTATTTCCTGCATAACCTTGCTAATAAACCCTTGAACAAACATTGTCATCGACCCATCACCGTCTTCCCCCTTCTCAGCAGGCTCCATCAACTCGGCCACCACTATCGGCTGCACTGGCACTGTTGAGGAATCCGCCTCCATCCTCCTAAACACAATTACAAGCATCTGAATCAACGAAGCCTTCGCCGTCGTCTGATTAACCACATTCTTGCTACTTAGATAAATATCATAACTAGTCCTCACAATCTGCAATAAACTATCACCATGTATCCTCAACTGTATGGACGTCACAGCTGATAAAATTGTTTTCAACAACAGCAACTCCACTCCCTCATCTCCCAAATCACAACATTTACAAACCGATTCGATCAGTGTCGACAACAGCTTTGCGTCGGGTCCACCACTAGGATCCGATTCACCACGTAAGTATCCATAAGCTATCAATTTCTGTATACAATCTAACGCAGGCTCAGCGATCTTGAGATCTCCCGAAGAGCAAGCCTTGATGAAAGGACTTAAAATAAGTTCTGATTCAGCTAGACTTTGTTCACTGGATCCAGAATCGTGTAGCACGCCGGGCAGTTCTGAATGTGATACCGGCTCCACGTTTGATTGATTTTCCTCTGATTTAGGGGAAGTAGGAGATAGCGGAGGGGGCTTTTCAGCAGAAGTAATGCGTTCAAGCAACGATTTGCATTCATTTCCGAGTTTGGAGTGTTTGCGCCAGGAGCTGTTCTTGATGATTTTCTCTAGGGCTGGGACTAGAACGCTGTTAATAAGGCGGGAATCAGCTTCCGCAGAAGCCATCCCTTAGTTTCTCCGGTTAGATCTGGCGTTGATACGGTGGATTACGGTGGTTCAGTTGAAGTGGAGTGGCGATTACTCCGTGGTGGACGTTGGTGGCGATTTCGTCGGAGTAAAGAGTGTGCGTTGTCTAAGATGGACTTGGATCTCACAGTCTTTCCGATTTCTGATGCCAAGTTAAAATATGTTCCAAACTTGAAATTACGAAAATAGCCTTTGTATACTCTTTTATAATTTTTTCACATGTTCAAATAAAACTTATTTATTAATGACCAGAAGTTACTCGCGCAATGCAATGAGATACATATTCATTTTAATGTTTCATTTTATTTTTTATCTTTGTTGATATAATACGGTTTATGTAGTTTTAAAAACGATAATGTTTTTTCTTTTGAATAAAAATAAAATTTAAGACATGATAAAATTTTAAAAAATATATCGATGTTAATATCAAATTAACTATTTAAAAGTTATTGTTTTTATATAATTTATTTTTTATTATAATTTAAGTTAGGTCAAATAGTGAAGTAATTTATTTTTGACTTAACAATAAAATTTTATAAATATAATGATTCTGTTATAACTCGATAATTATCCTAATTATATTTTAGATTTTTTATATTTTAAAATGAGATGTCTATCCTCTATTTGATTATGTTTATCCGCAGTTAGTTACACGAATACAAACATGGAGCTTTAATAAGTTGTACTTGTGCATAATTTACTTGTAATCTTGAATTTTAAGTAATATGCATCAATATACATTTACTTTATGCATTAAAAATCGTTTTAAAGAGTTTTTGTCAAATGATTTATAATATATTATAGATATATTTTTATTTTTAAATTAACCTAAATATCCAATTCGTTATGCGAGATGAAGAAATTTCAGGACGACCACATGTTTTAAGGGTAGCTCAGAGTCACCACATTTGAAACTCTGTGGCCACAAAGGGATTTTTGTTTCTACTTGGATTTAAACCAGAGACCTTCAGACACTTTTGATCTCTTGAGCCCAAGCTCAAACTAATAATGCACCATCCATATGGTTAAACAATTATCTGTTAGACAAACCATGTAGCCATGCCAAGACCCATCAGATGGGGTGGCAACGATCCACCACTGAGCCATACCCCAGACCACGAGTCTCTATTAATCACGCTCCAGTTCCATGATCTTGGTCCATCAGCTAGATATGGGTTTTTTGTCTCTTTAGGAATCAAGAATACAGAGGTACACGCATATAAAAACAGATCTTGTTCAAGTTAGGTCATATATTTTTTATTTTCATAATTTTATTTGTTTAGGATAAGTAGATTTTAATTCGATTCTTATTTTGAGAACTGAGAAACCAATCTTGACCATCTAAACAAGTGACTTCTTCAAATAAAAATAATTACATATAACATAATGGTCATTTTATTAAAATATCTTTTTATTAGCATGATTTCTCTGTCTGTGTTATCCCTGTGCATAAAAACTAGCACACAGAACATGTGGTGATGATGGATTTGTTTGTGAACGAAAATTATGTTATGATTTCAGTCGCAAGTGCAAACCCATTGGGATGAGCAATGAAAATGTCATCGTTAAGTCCCAACAAAGTCATATAACAAGGAAGATTTAAGAACAATGAAGACCACAATTAAATTGTTTGAAACTGAAGTACGTTTGACAGTAACCACACATTAAGTTGAGGTAACTGTCGTGATTCACAATGTTATGAATAATCAAATAAACGTTATATAAGTTTTTTTGTTATAAATATAGTGTACTTATCTATTAATTTACATTCTACAATTTGACTTATGCTATGGATATTCATCAGTAAATATACCCATTGACAAAATATCATACAATGTATATTCATATTCATTGATGAATATACTTACATACAAAGAAACAATACATTGATGAATTTCATACCTTGTGTATTCATTGATGATTACACTAATACAATATATACAATACATTGATGAATCTATACTATTTAAATTTTCCTAAATAAATATACATTGTCTGCTTGTATGCTACTGAGATGATTTGTAATCATATATTCATTGATGAATACGAATATTACATGAATGAATTAAACCCAACTAAAAGAGTAAAAGATATATAAGTGGAAATTAGAAATAACAAGTGATTTACAAAAAGCATGTACAACCATTTCCTTGGTTAATTCGGTTAACAGATTATTTTTGACTCCGTTAAGACGATGGACCAATTTGGCAATCAAATGCATATCATGGGGACCCTTTTAATAATTATTTCGCCATAGGAATCCAATCCATAAAATAGTCTAAAGTACAGGGACTAAAAATGTAATTTACTCTTCTTAATAAAATTGCCAGACTATGCCTCTTTCGAGAATAAACCCTCGTTTCCGATCTCACCATGGAAGACGATCGCACAACCGGCAACCACCGTGGATCCGACGAATCGCCGCCTCTGCCTCAGCCTCCGCCACCACAATCCTACCATGAACACACCACCGCCTGCGTCAACTGCGGCGGCCCCACCTCCTTCCCACCGCCACCGTCATGGTCTGACAACTCTCCTCCCCCCTTTTACCGTCCCATCCGTGCTCCGGCAATCAACCTCCCTCCCAACAACAACGCGCAACAGACCATTATCCTAACACCTGTTCCTCAAGCGCAAAAAGTTCCCGTCGTCTCTCCACCGTACCACTTCCAAACCCCAACGAAAATGATTCACTCCGACGACGATATTCGCCGTTTTCGTGATTCTGCTACTTCCAAAAACTACCTCGGGTTCGTCGTAGCTCTCTCAGAATCTATTCGTAGCCACAAGATCTCTGATCCTTGTCACATGTCTCCAGTCATCACCTCCATCATCTCCATCCTCCAAACGCTAATTCAATTTGTAGACGAAATCCCGCCTCTCCAACAATCTGCTCGGTACGGCAACCTTGCTTATCGGGATTGGCACAGCCGTATGACTGAAAGTGCGGATTCCTTAACGCTGCAATTCCTCCCCGCCGATCTCAATTCCGCCACGGTGGAGCTCACCCCTTACTTTACTGATAGTTTTGGGAATTCCAGCCGAATAGACTACGGAACTGGACACGAGACCAATTTTGCTGCTTGGTTGTATTGTCTTGCAAGGTTGGGAATCATAACTGAAGAGGATTATCAAGCTGTTGTTTGTAGGGTTTTCGTGAAATACCTTGAACTGATGCGGATGTTGCAGCTGGTTTATTCCTTAGAGCCTGCTGGATCCCATGGGGTTTGGGGCCTTGATGACTACCACTTCCTGCCGTTCATTTTTGGGGCTTCGCAATTGATAGATCACAAGCATATGAAACCCAAATCCATTCATAATGAGGATATACTCGATAATTTTTCAAAAGAGTATCTATATCTATCGTGTATTAACTTTGTAAAGAAGGTTAAGAAGGGGCCATTTGCAGAGCATTCGCCATTGTTGGATGATATTAGTGGTGTGCCGAACTGGAACAAGGTGAATAGTGGATTGCTTAAGATGTACAAAGTGGAGGTCATGGAAAAAGTTCCTATTATGCAGCATTTCCTCTTTGGTTGGCTCATCAAGTGGTAAAATTTTATATTATCATTCTCACTTGGTAATACTTTATTTTTAGAATATGGTATGAAGTGGTTATATTTGTTCCTTGATGGGTAACAGCATTTTAAGAAATAGGGAGAAAGTTAAATAAAATCATTTGGGGTAGTATTGCCTCTTTACTTTGTAACAAGAGGTCAAGATCTAAAAGAAACTCTATTTAGTAGCTTACATTATTGTAAAAAGCATTATGCAAGTCACCCTTGAGCATTTAGTTGCTTGAGTAGTTAAGTGATTATTTTTAATTATGTGAACATATGAGAATAGCAATTGATGGTTAATGTGATATGTTCACCTTTTTACAGGACTAATTTAATTGTTTCATCAATACAATTACTTGGAAAGATTGTCTCTAAGTTGATAACTAAATAACTTAACTCCAATATTGTTGAACCTTCACATTAAGGTAAGCATGTGAAAGAATTGTGCTAGGTATTAGGGTTTTAATTTGACATGGGTGGTTTAGTACTTTACCACTCTTGTTTCATCTCCTTGATTTTTGTTCCATCTATTTTGGTGGGTAGTTTTGTCCCACTTAGTCTCATCTTGTCCAAGTGACCAAGTCTAATGTCGCACCAAGCATGGGATATCAAGGTTTTGTTCTATCCCGTTTTGTCCTATTATGTCCCGTGTGCCAAACACCCTTTTAGCTCCAACCTTGTGCTCTCCATCTTCACGATCCTCTATGATGAAAATTCAACATTCGTCTTCATCATGTGGACTCTAAGACCATTCATATTTTGTAGGCTGGTTGATTCTCGAGTGCCAATTTGGAGCCTGGCACATGTCAATTGTTACGTAGGTAGATATGAAAATGCTGCATCTTTTGCTTGCTCACATTTCTACAGTTGTATGTGGAGATTGGAGCTTCCTCTCTACACACCCTCTTCATATATGTAGCTACTTCTGCTTCTCATGTATCAATATAGTGCTTAAAGTAAAATGTTCGTTCCATACTTGGCAACCAAACTGAGTTAATTAAAGATGCTAATGCTATAGCTTTGGGAAATTTTAAGAATAATATGATGGAATTTGAGCTGAATACTATATAACTCATGAACTGAACTTTGTGTTAGGTCCGGATTGTAGTGACTTTTGCAATAAAAAGAAAGTAGAAGAGTGAGGCACATCAGCAGGGTGGGGAAAAATGTTAGAAACGTGCTGCTCAGGGGTGGTGGTTGAGAGAGGGAATCTAGAGATGTCTGCTAAGTTTATTAGGAAGGGGTAAATAAAAAGAGGAGATGGTAGAGAGCATCGAAGTATTCATATGATTTTGTGGCTTCGAAGAGCTGGGCAGCATTACAACATGTTATGCTATGAGTCTATAACTAAGAGGTTGTTTACTAAACACTTTATCGCCTCTTACCGGGTAAGAGATGATGGTCTTTACCAACAATCTTATGCCATTTTGCTAATCGAGAATCTTACTCTGTAGTGAGGATGATGACTCTTACCCAGTTAGCGCTTACCAGGTAAGAGATGCTTATACTATGCTTTTTTGATTACACAGAATCTTACTTGGTAAGAAAAGTGAGGGTGGTTACTAAGCGCTTACCCAGTTTGTGTTGGTAGAGCAGAGGCCCCTAAAATATTAACTTAAAACTCAAGTAAGTATATACACACACACATACATACAGGGCTACAAGCCTGCATCAACTTATGCAAAGAAATAGGTAAGGGGTTGTTTGTTTACCTCTTAATAGTTCTATTAAGAAGGCAACCTCTGAATCGTTAAAAGGTGAATCTTATTTGGCAAAAAAAAAAAGGCTGCCTCTTAATAGTTCTAAAACCCTCTGAATGATTTTGTATCCTGGGCCTCCCTTAACCATTCAACACCCTAATTCCATTGTAAACAATTACCGAACAATTATATTTCATTTTGCACTATATCATGAGAGCCTCTTTAATCATTCTAACCACTTAATCATCATGCACCAAACCATTCAGCAACTGCCAGACAACCCCTAAGTTATAGTTTAAAAGGAACTGGCAAGTTAAATTCACTAATTCACTAAAAATGGTGTGGTCTTCTTTAACATTTCCTATTTAAATCCATTATTTCTCTTTTGGTGCATTGAACGTTAATGCAATGTGCCACATAAAGTTGTTTTTGGAAGGGTAAAGTTGAAGTTTGTTTGATTATGGGTAGCCTTCTTAATAAGCCTCACAAATCAAATCATGTGTTGATTTAAGAATTGACTAAACATTTAGCAATAAGAAGATGGTTGTTGAGCTAATCACTGGAATGGTTAATTGATTGGCGTCGAACTCAAAAAGGGTAGTATAGCGATTTAGAGATATAGGATTTATCTAAATCATTATCCCATAATGTCTAAAACACTAGTACAACCGTACAAGTGAAGTAGTTGCTCATGACTTGGTGGGAGTATTCTTTTTCATGCATGATATGTTCATTTACTTTACTAATAAAAGAACTTGTCAGTGGTGACTGTATATTGTGAACATTTTAAGCTACAATAATACGGGTCTGTTTGCTTGCAGCTTAATGAGCTTAATAGGACTCATAGCTTATTCGGTCAGTTATATATGACTGTTTGATAGTGGCTTAATGATAAAGTCGCTTATTCACACTGACCTTCTAGGGATAAGCTTTATGCAGAAAGCAAGTTTTTTTCCAAACCTGCCCCTCCAATTAAAAAACACGCTTCTTCCATCTATGAAAAAACCCTCTCAAACAAAAATCTTTTCAATCTATACAGACAGATTAATCCACACAAACAACTATATCCATACAGAACTTAATGGAAAACCAACCAAACAGCCCTTTACTTATGCCTCATGAGAGTAGAGAATCAAGTCTATTGGCAATAGCTTATGTTTGACATATATAGTAAATATACTTTGGTTGTCGCTTGAATCGTTGTTTTATGTGTTGTATTTCCCGATTACATGTGATATTACTCATCCTATTTTCTTCTTGCACACACCTTCGTTGTCTTCACAGAAACAACCTCTCGATCCTAGTGTTTGAGGTAAGGTTTGCTTACATCCTACCCATTCCAGATCCAACTTCCAAGTGGGATATACCGGGTTTGTTAGGTTTTGGTTTATACTTTGTCCATCATTATTCTTTGCACAAACACATTTTGTTCCCGAGACCTTGGTATTTGCTACTACCAGTGGGAGATAGCCATGAGTCTAGCTCATGTTCTCTTTGGGTGTGTATGGTATCCAGACATGATAGGACATGACAGGACAAAACAACTGTTCAGTGTTTGGTAAGACAAAACTGGAGATAACAAAATAGATAAAATGATCAATTTACCCCAATGAGTTGTATTTATGTATATATATTATATATATTTTGATCAAGTTTTGTTATTCATTAAATTATAATAAAATAAATATTTTTATAACAAAATATATCATTAGAAAGTTTTCGTCAAGACCATTAAATGACACCAGAATAAAAAGTTTTCCCAAATTTTATTTTATACCTTTTCTATACTATTTTATCATTATTACTAATATTTTATTAAATTACATAAATTAACCAAAATATAGAAATCATATAATAATAATATTTTGGGGACAATAAAGTGGAAGTTTAAAAAGCATAAAATAAAATAAGTAAAGTTTAAAGAAAGAATAGAATGTAAAGGGGGCGGCGTATTTGATGTTTTACAAGAGAATTATGTTTTATTTTAAGGTTATATTGGTAAAATATAGGTTTGATTCACCTTGTTCCAAGGGGTGGGGGTGGAGGTGGAACACGTCAGCTTCACTTTGCTCCACATAGAAGTCTTGTCAAACGTGGAATGGTGATCTTTGTTTTGTTCTTGTTCTGTCTTGTACAATGTACTGAACGTACCCTTTTGGCTGATATGTTGTACTCCCTTCGACCCAAATTAAGTCTGCATATTTTTATCTAGTTTGTCCCAAAATAAGTGTCCAGTTTCAAAAGTAAATGCCTACTTTCCAATTTTCCCCTTAAATATGAGATGAAGAAATTCATTACTCTTTCTATTATTAAGGGTAAAATTGTCTTTTAGGTAATCAAAAAGTGTAGTAATTACTTATTTCTGAAACTATGTGCCTTTTTTCACTGTGGATTTGGGACGGAGGGATAATATATATATATATATATATATATATATAGAGAGAGAGAGAGGGGGGGGGTGAGTTATTATGCAAACCGTTACATTTGTACAACTAATACAACTCAATCTCAACCGTCCATTTAATTTGATGAATATGTGATTTCATAAAAGTTCTGGTTGTTTTCTAATATAAAGTATTGATCATAATTAATGAAGTCTAGTCATCTTCCATAAAAATTCAAATCATAATAAATGAACTCTCATTATTTTCATAAATATCTCAATTGATTGGATTGCATTGGTTGTACAAATGT